AAAATTATTCATTTTACTGTCATTACTATAGTTTTTTTCCATTTTACCATGAACTGTGGTTACTATTAGAGTAAATTCAAGAGTACACGAGACATAAAGGCCAGCGGCTATTCTATCAGTTTATTAACTACACATGCCGGGTTTTACAGATGCGATAACATTTACGATCTTGGTATGCACATGGTGCGTTTATCATCAACACAGCATAGTATTACCTAAAGTACACATGCTCAATATATACACGGATCTCTTTACATTAACAGTGAAACAGAATAGTTTAGTAAACAGTCAGAGGTGTCATCAAAATTGTAATGCTTTCAAGAACGCCAGACCCTTATGGTAAGGCCGGAGGTTGATGGCATTGCTAAGATATAATAAATTACTTTTTATTTATCCAATGAAAACATTCACTCACTCACGCTCAATCAAACATCTGCATTCTTTTATTCAAATTTATTCATCTGGTGTAAGTGGTACTCTTAATAATGTCATGTCATTATTCTTCTACCTATGTCTTGAAAATGCAAACATTCTATTAGAAATCTATGCCAATTGGTTGTGAATGCAGCAAGTTTGCATTACAAGCCCCAAACCATCATACCAGCTTGCCAGTCTAGAGGCAATATTAATGATACACTGTCTACGTTTACTTTAAAAAAAAAAAAAAATTAATTAAACCTTTAAATTGTTTACTATATGTAAATCATTAACTTTCATTTGAAATACAGGTCTCTCTCCAATTAAGACCACCTCCAATTAAAGACCACTTTTCTGTGGTCTCAAACTAACAAATGTCTTTTATTTTTATTATTCTAAATATAGAATAAAGCTGCTTAAGACCATGTAAACCCCGGTCCCAAAAGTGGTCTTTAAATCGGGGGAGGGGGTGGGGGGGAAGACCTTTTTTAGAATAAAATATTTTTCTCGAAAAATAGCTTTAAAAGTACTGTTCTATAATCGGTGCATATACACTTAAATTGGGTGGTGTAATGAAACTGAAATGTACAGGTATTAAAGGTTTTAAGTCAGTATATTTAATCAATTCCATATAATTGAAAATTATTAGAAAAGTATTAGAAGCTATCTTTTTACAAGCATTCAATTGTTTATCCAGATTTTTCCTGAGGGTATAGCATTCTTTATATAGTGATAGATTTGTGCCAAGTAAAACTTCAGAATATTAATGAATGCGAGTGTTGATTTAGACTAATAAATAATTTTATCAAATACAGTACCTCTTTAAAAGGAAGTTGGCTCATATTGTAGTGTGATGAGGTGAGAGGTGACATCATTTACCTGTACAGAAGGCAATATCTTAATACATGTCTGGAAACACTGGCTAAATATATTTTTATATGCGCTTAATAGACCCTTCCTTAATATTTCTGAGAAAGTCCTAAATCCTTCCCACTATTCCAAGAGATTGAGGATAATTGCTTCGAAAATATAATTTAGACTTCTGTGTCACTCATAATGTCTGATTGCCATGGTGCATAATCTTTTATATGAATTCTTCCAAGAACACCAATTCTTGCAAATGATTAAATGTGCTTGTAATGGATGTTGACTAAAATATGAACCTAAGGAGTCTGAACTAGGTGGGGCTATACTGTATCTATAGTAAATATTCACTTATTTATCTATTTTTATCCAAACTACCATTTGATATAATAATATTACAATTTTAAATTATTTTAAATTACTACTCTTGCACAAACATATGTATGAAATATGCATTGCATTGAACTTCCAACATTTAAAAAATACTATAATATTGCTTATAAAAATAAAAGTAACAAATTTAATTTGCAAGAAAAATATTGAAAGGTATACGTCAACAAAAATATATAACAGAATATGGAAACAATAAGATAATTTAGGAGTATAACTGTTTACTTAACTGTGCTTATGATAATATATTATAACGTATTATTGTTGCTATGTTATGTGAATGGAATTTATAGATCGTCTCCAAGAGCTTCTCACAAGATATATGTTATGAAGACACCTGTTTACTGTACACAGGCAAAGCATGTGAAAGATAATTAAATGAGTGAGTGAATGAATGAATAAATGAGTGGGGGATTTAGTATTTAATTGAGTGATCAAACGAGTGACTGGGTAGTTGAATAGATAATTAATTTATTTATTTCAACAATATTTTGTGAGGGTGGTCCACCTAGCCAGAACTGATCAACTGGGACCCTCGGTACATACAATTAAAGACAAAAGAATAAAAGATGAAATTTAAACTAGATAACTCAATAAATAAATTAAATTAATAAAGAAAATGTATAAAATGTATGAATAATACAAGTGAATATTGTATTAAGTGGAAAGACAATTTTCTGTATTTTTATTTTATTTATTAATTTTTTTCCCCCGTATTTTTTCGAGTTTATACTATATTTTTTATGTCCATCCTGTAAGTAGCGATTTTTCGCTGTTGGTTTGGAAATAAATAAAATAAAATAAAATAAATAAAAACAGCTGAACAACAAGTGGAATCTTCCTTCCGTATGATGCGAATAAGCGCATATAATCAAGTTGCTGTTATTAATTGACCGGAACAGTCATAGCAGGGTCACCAACAAGCAGGTTAACAGCATGATTCCCACACCCGTAAGTAAAGTGTCTTGCCCATGGACACAAGCAATGCGACGAGCATCGGCCTCGAACTCCCGATATCACGATCAGAATTTCAACACCTTACACTTTTTAGAGTCAATGGCTAATTATACGTAGTTTCTAAGTATATATGTGGCAGAGACACGCCTAAAAAAATAATTTTTAGTTAATAACACAGGATTAAACAGTCAAATGAGAGGTATAAAATGGTAAAAAATCATTTAAATCTGACATTTTGTTATGAAGTTACAGAAGTTTAAACATACAGCTGTTTAAAGAACAATATTTGAGTAATCCACCTTCAAAGTTTACAATTTCAGGCATTCCTCAGGCAGAAATTATCACCAAATCATTAAAAATTGCTATTCTAACATTTAAAATGTGGAAAATAAAAACATAGCATGATGTACAGAGAAATAAAAGTTAGTTTAGTGCAATGAAATAGATTAAAAACATTCCAGCATGTTTTGGCCATATCTCTGAAACCTCACAATTTGTGACGTGTGGCTGGTTTGGCTTGTCTTTGCCACATATTATTACTATAATACCATTAATATTATTTTAATTATTCCCAATTTCCTGATATATAATTTTTTTTTGTCAAGGGCTTAGAAGGATTGTCCAAACTGCACTATAAAATATATTATTATTAATACAGTAATATTATATAAATAAGAGACAGCAATAAAAACGAGGTCCATATAAGCAATCATTTTAGTTATCCTTCTAGCATTTTTTATTACAATTATTTATTGTATCTGTATCACTATTGATATTGTTATTGGTGCATGACCTTGCCAAAAGCCTAGGGAAATTAGTTCATTTAATTTTTTAAAAAGGGACAATCTGAAAACCAATGTAAATGGTATTAAAAATGTGACTGAAAAATCAATGATGAACAAAAAAACCCTGTTCAAATCAAATTATTTTTTTACCCCTGTAAGTTGATAAGCAACTGAAATTACTACAATGCATAAGAGTTCGCAGATGCTAGCTCATATCTATCAAGTTTCTACATTTACTACATAGCAAAAACTTCATTTTGTATTGAAAACCAGTCTGATCAAAACCACCCTTTTTTCTTTAAACCAAACACAATCAAAATTATTGATATATTCCAAGTTGTTCATCATTTTTACATACAGAAGCCAAGACCAAAACAAGGGTTGTTCTTTGCTGGTACTGTGTACACAATACAGCATTCAATATGTAAACAGTTTAAATTGTGATTGTAAAAAAAAAAAAGAGAAATAAAATTGGACAAAGCCTTAAACATTTTCCGTTAAACTGTAGGTTTATAGTTAAGACCTTATACAAAACAGTTGACAGATTTACTGCCCCCAAATCAAATATTTCTTGATGTTCAATCATAGCATATTACATGTTTGTATTATACCTTTTCCACACTAACAAATTTCAAATTTTAACAATTAGTAACAAGTTAACAACTTGGACCTCCTAACATATTTTCTGCGTTTCACCAACACAGTAACCCAAACCATTTGAAATCTTGGGAGAATATCAGTAGGCCTAGATATCTAGGGTAGGCTTAGCACGCTCGACATTATTTTGCTCTCCGTAGCCCGTAGCTCAACAAGGCCTGTTTTTTGGCCGAGACATCACAGGGTCCCCTGCGATATTTCAGAAAGTCTTACATGAATTTTTTCTTTCACACTACACAAACCTGGTCACTAGTCTTGTCACTATTTGTGGCAGTGTGAAAGGGTATTGTACAGTACAATTAGAAATGTGTAAAAGACTCTCATTAATAGGAATGAAGCTTTGGTGAGATAAACTTGGAAACCTAAAATAATAATGAAAATAGCTTCATTCTGTTATACATTATTCTCTCTAACATAAGCAACTGCACTTGAGTTTGAAGCACAAAAATGGGATTTTAATTACCATATGGTGTTAACAACTGTACGCAATGCTTTCACCATTATAGAATTGACAACAAGGAATTTGATTGGGTAGAGAGGCAATGATGCCTAAGTACTGCACCTAGCACATCAAAATGAAAGTGCATGTATTAAAATAATTAACTGAAATAGGCCTACAGAGGGCTCACTTCCATTAAACTGCATGCCTCCATATTATAGTATCAGTATTATGTATTTTGAACATAGTTCCTTGGGTATGAGCCCATCCATTTGAACCAAACAACATAATAATTGTTTGTAGGCTTCTTACATTGTTATCCTTAAGATGAATATATACCATTAATGATCCAGTTGAAGTTATTGTATTATACAAAAGATGAATTTTCATAGAAGTGATGGATTGATTAATGGATGGATTGCTTGATTGATTGGTTGATTGATGATTAAATAAATGATTGATAGAAAACATAATAAAAAGAATTAGCTTACCTTTAGGCCTACACAAGCTGGGCTAACTTCAAAGAGGTGCCTCCTCCACCAACTGCAATCAACCGGCCTCCATGTGTGCTATCCAATGCCTGTACAGGCTTACCACCCAAATCAACTTTCCCTAAAACCTTAACAAGAAAAGAAAGGTATAAGACTATTTCTTGTTGGTTCTTGGCAGAATATTACTAAAACAATAACAATGATCTAAAAATGTATTGAATAGTCTCTATTAAAACACTAAATTAATGATTTTAGTTTTGGAAGTACATAAACAGCCAATATGTGTATAAGCCTAGGCTTTCACACAAAACAATTTCTCAGTTGAACCGGTAAGGAGTGGGGGTGGGAATAATTATTATTTATTCATTATTGAAATGCAATTTCAATAGAAAAGAATAAAATAAAACCACTGCTTCATCAAGCGCATGTAGGGTGAAAGCCATCCAATTATAGACAGAAAAATGGTCTTTAATTGGAGGTGGTCCTTAGTTGCAGGGGTCTTTAATTAGAGGGAAACTTGTACATAAAATGAAAAACAACCTTGCCAGATATTTTGCTGATTGCCTGTGCGTTGTTTGTACCGCTTCCACCAGCAATGACAACGTTGTTATCGCAGAACTGAGCAGAGTAAAGGTATTCGCCGGACGATTCATCAGTTTCCACCGGAATTGTGGACTCTAATTTACGAGATGACCAATCAAAAATCTGCAGCGCATCTCTGTTGACCCACGATGCTGTCAGTAATTTACCATCCTTTAATAAGGAATAAACATATTTGAAAATAACAAAGGTATTATGAGGCAATTATTATATAACACCTTATTTAAAACTAAACATTTTGTCAATTAAAATAATGGCTGTTCATAGTTTTGCGGTAACTCTAATCGATGTAATAAATTCTGTTTAATAATAAAATAGAATCATAAAGATAAAAAATATTATTAATTATTGTATACAACATTATTGTTCAATATTCACTATTGTCTTCCAAAAGAAATAACCCCAATTTAGTGTTGTTGATGTTAATGGTCTCCATTTCTAAATCTATTCTTACCTTTACATCTAAGCCACTGCCACAAATGTGAGGTCCTGGAATAGTACCTTGTACACCATTGGATGTCCTGCTATCCCAAATCTTAGCATAACAAATGAAAACGGATTGAAAGCTATGAATAAATTATGTATCTGTGTGTACACGCTGTACAACTGACAGTGGATGACATAGCCCAGTAAGTAAATATCTGTGTGTATCTGTATAAAATACCAATGTCTAGATTCTACGGTATCTTTTAGGCAAAGAAGTATCTCTTAATTTCCATGTTCATAGTTATAGACCAGACTGTAAAATATGGCCTGCACAGGAAAAAATAAATCCTGCACGCAAAAACTTAAGCTTAGAAATCCATCCACGCATTTCAAAAATGAGAGCCGATTCCTATTCAGGTTTCAAAGAAAATTAGGCTTTGGCTTATATCTTAAAATACAACCAATGTATAATTGAGCAGTAAAAACGATTCTATACATCTACCTTCCTAGTGATTTTCAATGCAAATTTGATTTAGATTTTGATGTATTGCCCTAGCAAATAAAATATGGTACAGTGTAGTAAATGGAACCGTAAAAAGATAAAAATTATTTACAAACCTTGATACAATCATCCCAGCCTCCACTGAAAAATATGCGGTCAGCATCAGGGTGAAATTTTAGAGCAAAGATTCTTTTGCCATGGCCACAGTCTCCCTGGCTCTCAACAATATTATTTATAGAATTTAAACCCTCATAGATCCTTGATAACTGCAAGAGAAAGCATGAAAGAAATTTTATATTAAAGAGTAATAGGACAAGGGATTGAAGAAAGGGCCAGCATTAAAGAGGGATGAAATGGGACAAGGCATGTAGGCATGTGGAATAAAGAAAGTGAGTACAAATTATAGGGACAGGCTTGATAGAGGGGAGTAAGCTAAAGAGGAGAGGAAGAATGAAGGGTGAGATGAGAATGGTAATGGTTTTGTATTTTTTGTAGCGCCTTCCACGACCGCAATCATCCCAAGGCGTTAGAAAAATATATGTGAGTAAATTATGAAAATAAATTAAACCAGGAAATAACCTGAACTAACCAAACAGATAACCGACAAGATATAAAAATAATAGAATCGCACATCACCACACCATTTCACCAACCGACCAAGGCCGGCCAGCTATTGATTTCACAGGGGTCATATAACGTATGTGTCTAACTACCTATAAACCTGAATACAGTAACCAACAAAAAGTTAAAATGTGGACAAACAAATGTGAATAAAGAAGGGTGGTTGATTGTGAATTAAGAGGAGTGTTTAATCGGCGATGTGATAAATGATTTGAAAAACAGGAAGGGATAACAAAAGAGAAGGATATGGAAAGAACAGTGGAAAAAGAGAAGGGATAGAGAAAGAAATGAGGGTGGAAGAGTAATGCTGGGTACTCACAGCGCCTGACGGTCATCGACCGACGCAATACTATGAAGAACACAACACGACGATGCACACGCAACGGATCAGTTTTATTGACGATCCGTTTAGACTGTCACTAACAATCAGTAGAGGGCGTCATGTTGTCTGGCGCTCACAGGGAATGGAGATGGGTTCGTTGTACGATGCAGTAAGTGCTCGGCTTAATAAGGGAAGAATATGGATAGAGGAAAGTACAGTAGAACCCCTCATTTACGTACGGCACGGGCCCAGAGCCGTTCGTAAATTTGGTTATTCGTAAAATCGGGGTTGACCCAAATTCCTATATATTTGCACTGGTACTACTTACACTGGCCTAGGCTAGGTCTACAGGCTTACGCAGCTAAGTCTGAGGGGGCCTGGCCTACAGTTGGCAGCTTCTAAGCATTCTGATCCCACTCTAGGCCCTGCACAAATTTGATTTTATCGGATATTTTAACCTTCTTAAATACCTAGATTGTGGATTTTATTCCAACACAACTTCCATAGATACTTGTTTATTATATATATTGATCATTCAATAAAACAATCAAGCACTATGTTGAATTTTGAAGCTGAAAACATTGTTTGAAAGAGAAGTAAAATTTGTCGCATGCACATGCCATAAAAAGCACTGACTTTGAAGAGGCCCGTTAGAGGGCCTCCTTCACTTGAGAATTACATAATACTGTATAGTATGGTGTGTTGTGTTGTATGCATGGTAATAACAGGTACAGTTCGAGCAGGTTTTTTTTCCTTTTTTAATCTTTCGCTTCAATTTTTATGACGTCATCACCTTTATATTACGTTCGTAAAATCGGGAATTCGTAAAATCGGGGTTCGTAAATGAGGGGTTCTACTGTACAGTATTTTGCACCAGTGAACATAATGTTAATAGACAGATAGCGTACCAATTAGGGCATTTAAAATGTCGCACAATACATCATCAAACATTTGTCACATTAATTCTATTTGATGGAAGAGCTCGGAAATTTGTCCCATGATGCATAGTATGTACACTGTTATGATATTGATTACCTCATCAGTCTTACTGTCAGTTAAGAGGGTGCTTAAGGCAGCTAAACAATGATTCCAATAAATCAATGTCATTCTGGATATTTATACATAGGCCTACCTCATTTCTTTCTGTGTCATAGATTCTAAGTGATAAGTCTTTTCCTCCGGTAGCAAATGCTTCCCCACTTGAACTAAAGTCTAAGGCATTGATTTCATTTTTTCTCTCTGAAAATTAATGTAAAGCAACATTTATAATTGAAGAAAAAAGAATTAACTTCAATGAACGATAACATCTATTATGTAATTTTTTTTTTCATAATACATGGAAAAAATTATATTAGGCCATATTGTTTGATTTTAACTTCAAAACTTTTAACTTTTTAAAAAAATAAAAATAACAAAACAAATCTGAAAAATAATAAAGAAACAATCCATACCATTTATGACTGCCATACTTTTACAGGTGTCTATGTTCCACAACTTTATGTTACCATCGCAATCAGCGGACACCATTAAGTCGTGTTTGAATGGGTGGAAATTCAAACTCATAATTGGAAGTCCTGACTTGGTACCCTTGTTTAAGTTCCTAGTCATTTCTCCAGTAGAGCTATTGTATAACTGTAGGTGAAAACAAAACAAATTTTAAAAAGCACTTCACAACACTTCATAAAAAAACTAATATAACTGTTTTTCTGGTTCTTAAACTGTTTCTGGTTTCATTAATTTTTCTTTTGTTTACTTTCTTGCGGAGAGGCGCCATGAGGGTTATTTTTAATGGATACAGGCGCTTTATTAATTTTCAATATAATATTATTTTTTAAATTTTTTAATACATCATTCAAGATGATATCACAGGAATTGTAAAAATCAATCTAGCTGTTTTGTATTGAGGTTTTGATAAAATGTACAAAAAAAGCACCCAACAAATGTTCACATTTTCGTAGGCTCTATTATTTAAATACATCAAGATCCTTGTTTCTTTTAACATACATGTTCTACAACAATGTACCCCTTTCCCATACTGTAAAGTTTTTAATTGCACAGACGATATTTCAAAAACTAGCTCAAATTTGTGTGTAAAATCCAAAATGCGCGGACAGATTTCTAGGTCTAAATTTTACATGGAAGATACATTCCCCGCACAGGCCTTACTTTAGAGTCTGGCCCCTTTCTTATACTCTGGTGATGGTGCACATAAGTATAGTTTATAATAACATCACGCTAGCTTACATTGATGGCACCATTGCCACAGCCGACAGCAAGAGCGGAACCGTCCAATGAGAACTGAAGACTGTACACGCCCATATAATACTCGTTGATTTTAATCTCCATGCTATTCTTCAAGTCACTGAACAATCCTTCTTCACTCTTTTCAATGGCTCTTCCTGCTTGGATAGCAGCTTCCAGTCGTCTTCGTGCCATTTTCAATGTAATGAAGGGTTCAATTACATTCAATGGAACTTATGAATAGTGCCTACAATACGTATGACAAATAATTTCCATACATCCATTTTCTTTATCTAATATTTATTTTCTATTATGTATTTCATGTAATTTTGTAATTCAATCTTTAACATAATGCCCATCAATGATTTTGAGCATGTCAAAAAAAACCAAAAAAAAACATTGGAATTCAAACCATTCTTTAATAAATTTTCAATATTAATAATATTTTTAAATTTATTATTAATAATATTAATTATTATTTTATAAGTTTCATCATATTGACTTAACTCCAAAAGAGTTGAGCCTGAGCAGCTTCTTTATTTATAGAGGCTGGTAAGGCAGTCTGCCAACACAGGATACAGTACAATGGACAATGGAGTAAGTATGCCTAGGCCTACGCTTGCACAGCAGCAGGTGAAGCCCCAGCAGTGTTTGCTTGCATGTTGCAGCCAGCCAGTGCATGCAGTGACTCGCACAGTCACTCACAGGGAGAGGGCTACAAAAACGCAACGAGTAGAATGCCAGAATGAGGTATTTTTTTGGTAATAAACGTTGCGCATAAAAACAACTAATATCATTGATTGTACTGCTTTTATGAAAATAAATTTTGAAAGTCATAGTAATGTAGAATTTGATAAATGCTTACTAAATCACAACACACGCTCACCCGATGTTTTATGTTGTCATGTACGAATGTCAAATTTTGCTTTGACCTTTTTTCTCAATATGTTTGAATTAACAATACACCAAAATATACAATATACTGTTATTCATAAATAAATATTCTAATCAAAATTACTTTTAATTTGAAATAGATATTTTTGATATGCATATATATAATGAATTATTATTATATTAATTGTAAATTTGACTTCAGAGATTAAACTCTAGAATTTTATATGACCTGAAGGTGAAGAGGTCAAGGGCCCCGAGGTCGAATCTTACGTGAGAAATTACTCATCGCGAGCTCGATATCATCTGCACGGTAAGTAGAAGGTTATGATTGATTTAGCATAATTAATTAGTGTTAGCAAGTAAAATTGTCATCTAAACATAAAAGATAAGTTAGTGCTGTTGTTTAACATTGTGATTTAAGTATTACCTTAGATATTTAGGTAAAGAGCATTTTTTAAATTGCAGTTAAGCTAGGCCCAGCACCAGGCAGAGTGAATCTTAGTAGCGGCGAGCGGGAGAGCCACACGCGTACGCACCACGGTCTGTCCGGTGTGTAGGCCTAGTGTGTGCTCTGTACCAAGTCCTAGTAGGCTAGGCCTAGCTAGTGTGTTATAGCATAATGATCTTTAGCCTTGTTAACATGGATGAAAGACTATAGGTATGCATCATGTACCAGACAAGCAAGCTATCCTTGGCTATTTTAAATTAAATTTATGTCTGTATTGTTTAAAAAACAAAGAAGCCATTCCACAGCAAACCCCCTTGGGCCCTTCAATTCAATCCAGGCTTGCATTCAAACACAGTAGCTCATGTAATGTGACTGTTTTTTATTTAATTCCTATCACATATCCTAACTTTTCTTATCATTGAAGGGAGAAAAGGCCCAGGGTCAAAATAATTCATCGAGAAATGGCGGTTGGTCAATCAACTCAGGAGAGGGTCACTTAGGTCATTGCTTTATAATACAGCACTGTATCTAACCACTTTGTAGAATATAGTATTGAATGTAGCAACCAAAAGTATTTTTGCAAGTGCATTTGCCCCAACTTCTTAGTCTTCAAGACAGTATTACTCCTTCCCCAACAGGCTTGATATGTGATGATTAGAATTATTAGTGTATAAGCAGGATGACGACAATTCATAATAGAAAAGATGTTCGAATTCTACTCGTTGGAGATTGTAAGTAAAGTAATACTTTTATTTCGAATGCATGTAGCATGATTAATTAATTAAATTATAAACTCTATTCAAAGTAATGTTAGTATGAAAACTATGAACTATTCATAACCTCTTGAAATAATTTTGAGTTGCTGTGGTAGTGGAATTTTTCTGTAAAATGGAATGTGTTAAAGGTTGGTAGTGGAATTTTTCTGTACTTAAAATGGAATGTGTTTTAAGGTTCATTTCAGTTCATGCCAATTACAATGTGATGTACTTTTCATCCTTGAGTTGGTAATTGACAGATGACCAGTGGCTGATAGCACCTTGTCCGATAATGGACTGTGTTTAGAAAGTAATTTTGACCTAGTTTCTGCAGTATACTAATGCTTAACAGGACCCTTTTCTTTAAATATGAATACATTATTAGAATTTATTCAGCTGTAATTGTTTATCAGAAATAGGTTTTAAACAAGTGTGATACTTGTCTTTAATATTGAAATCAATCTCAGTGTTTTGGTTTGGTTTTTTTTCAGCTGGAGTTGGTAAAACTTCTTTGATACTGTCTTTGGTTAGTGAAGAATTTCCAGAAGAGGTATTATAATTTAATTGTTTAATTAATTAAGATAGACTTGATTGATTACTTAATTATAAAGAGGTATAATATAGAAACAAAATGTTCAGACATCATGACAATTAATGGAGAAAATGAATGGATACTTTTGGAGAAAATCAATGAATTAATTATAATTAGATAAAGTTTAATGTTAATAGTAATCCAACCTTTTTTTATTGAAGTACTTTTTATAACTTTTAATCACATTATTGAGGGTCTTTTAACTATAAAAAGCATCTCAGATTTTATGAAGCAGTATATGAATCTGTTTTCATATTATTAATTAGATAAATATAATTAAAGATAATTTTAAAAAACGATACAGTAGACTACAGTAAAACACAAAGATCTACAGGAATAGAAAAAAAAAATTATATATTCTATAAACATTTTTAATAAAATTCCAGACAAAGTTGAAGCTTCAGAGGTGGTTCAGTGTGTGGTGATCATATTTACTGAACAGTATGACAGGAGACAAGGAAGTTTGTCTTAACTACAGGAAGTGATCATGTCAATGAATTGTAGTTCCTCTTATAACAGTGCCTTGTTTTAATTAATTCCCATCCGAAATTAAATTGTGCGTTAACATTTTAATAAAAGGGTGGATTTAGCTAATACTGTATGAGTAATTACTAGTTACTTTGTAACATTGACAGTGTACTTGAGAAAGCAAACGTTCTATCTAAGAAATATTGTAATCTTTGAAAGAGTAGAAACATAATTGAGGAGGCTGTAAAGTTAAACCAAGTGTGGACAAGAAACAAGTTAATTTTTTACTTTACCTAAAACAGAATTTAACCTGAAACAGTTCTAAAGTATTATGAGTTAACACAATCTTTTCTATATGCTTCAATTATTATATTGATATGAATACAGAATCTGTAATTAGTAAGAATTTACATATCAAAGGTGGTAGAAATTAGAAAGTTAGGTTATAAACGCATGCATGGCAACTTATCTCAATCAAATCCAATGTCTGTACCTATACTTTGTTTTTTTTTCCCCTTAGGTACCAGCAAGAGCTGAGGAAATTACCATCCCTCCAGATGTAACCCCTGAAAAGGTTCCAACCCATATAGTCGATTTTTCTGGTATGTTATTAAGCAATATGGAAATGGTAACTGTTGTGTACACGTAAAGCTCATATTACAGTAACAGTCAATATGCACCTTAAAGTGAAGTCTTAAAAGAACAAAAATCTAAACCAAGAAATGCAGAGAGCAGCTTCTCAGTCAGCTAAACTGGTGCTCACCACTAAACCGTGGAGATCTCCAGGTCTCTGGTTCAGTCCCCATTTCGCCTCTCCTTGTCTTTCAGCTGGAGAACTGAAATGCAAGTTACGGTAGTGCACCATCTTTCATGTGCATGTTACAAAACGCAGTACACTCATCGGAAAAGAGTAAGGGATTTCCTACCAGTGTATTGCTCAGTCATCACCAAAAGGAAATGAGTCTTCTAGACTTTCTTGGGTTATTCTAGTGTTTACCTTACCCACCTTACTTTAATGGCCAGAGTGTCACAAATTCTATGTGTTTGTATTTCTGAGTTTTATTATCCTTTTGTCTTTGTTTTTTTTTCAGCAAAAGAACAATCTGAAGAAATTTTACTTGAGGAGCTTGAAAAAGTGAGTTTCAAAAATATATGAATAGTTAATATTATTATATCAAACATTATTTTATACAACCTGTGATCTGTAGTAGATATAATTACAAAGTTTTATAATTATCAACTTGAAAATTAAATTAATCAATATATAAATTATTTTTTGAAAAAAGTTTCTACATTTACCCCATTAACATTTCAGGCAGATGTACTATGTGTTGTGTATGCAGTAGACGATGCCAAATCTATCAACTCCATCACAGAGTACTGGCTGCCGTTGATCCGAAGCACCCTCGGACCTGACCACAACACCCCACTGATCCTGGTAGGCAATAAGTCGGATCAAGCAGACATCAACAGTTTGGAGACGGTTGTACCTATTATGAATGATTATGCAGAGATAGAAACATGTGTTGAGGTACAGTGTGGGTGTAGATTTATTTTACTAATACATATTTTAACTGTGATGAATAAAAGGTGTGGCTGCCATTAGTCTGCTGTAAAATAATATAAGAAATGACAACAGCACTTTAAGACTAACTATAAAATTTTAACTGTAATCATTTTAACTCTAAAAAAAAAACCATTATTTTTTTTCACTAAATGTATTACATCGCCACACATTTTTGAAATGCATTCTATTCTGACAGTCTATCCTAGGGCAAAAGTCCCACAGATAGTTCAGCCAGGGAGTTGTTATAGTGACACTATAACAACTCCCTGGTTCAGCTAAACCGTGGTAGCCAGGACTAGGTCAAGCTAGCATTTTTAGATTAAATTTTAATACAACTAATTGTACAGCCATAACATGAAATAATGATTAAAGAATGCTTTTATTATCTCTTTGCAGTGTTCAGCCAGAAATCTGAAGAATATATCAGAGTTATTTTTCTACGCTCAGAAGGCTGTGCTTCATCCCACAGGACCACTGTACAACTCAGAAGATAAAGAACTAAAAACTGAATGCAAGAGGGCGCTGTGTAGGATATTTACAATTTGCGATTTGGATAATGACGGTGTCCTGAATGACTACGAATTGAATCTCTTCCAGGTAAACAACATACATTAACATTTCCCAATTACGAACCCTCCCTATTATGAACTCTCGATTTTATGAATCCAATTTGCGCTGATGACGTCATTGTGAACCCTTACCACTCTGAAATACTATGAAATTTTGAACTCTCTGGATTACAAATTTTCTCTATTACGAACTCTGTTCGGATGGAGGGATACATAATTGGGAGATGTTACTGTAATATTAATTTTCAATTTTTTATATTCATTATTTTATTACAGAGCTCTCAATTAATAGTCACATCTTTAGTATATTAGATATTTTTTAATTATTTATTATTTAAAAATAATAAGTAGTAATATCATTTTGCAAATCGAATATTGTTTTTGGAGCATTACCTGAATTAGAATCACTTGTGAAATTGTGTATCATCATAATTGTTATTGCAAAATATCTTACTACTAGCATTACATTATGTTCACTATAGAGGAGGTGCTTCAATGCTCCGTTACAACCACAAGCGCTAGATGATGTCAAGGCTGTCGTGAAGAAGAATGTCCCTGAAGGGGTCATGAACAATGGGCTAACTCAAATTGGTTAGTACAGTATTTGGTTTTACATTTGGGAAAAAATGGACCTGCACCACCATTTTAGGATGTTGGCTAACTTAAACAGTGGGAACGGTTCCTTAATTTTAAATTTTTCCCCCCTTTTATCTTGATATAATCTGATGTAATGTATGGTATAATGTTCTGTTCACACTCTCGAATTTTCTTCGACAATAACTGTTGTATGCCCATATATAGACGTGATGTGCCTATATATGGTCATGATGTGATGTCATCATGACCATATTTAGGCATTTAGTCATTGTCAATTAGAATATGATAGTCTCGACAGGACTCGCATAAAGACTGAGTAATCAGCTTTCAAGTGCTCAGTCATTATTAGTTGAGGAAGTCTAGATAAAAGAACAAATTTCATTTTTGTTTTTATTTTCCATCCAGGCTTTCTGTTTCTACATACTCTGTTTATCCAACGAGGGAGACATGAGACGACATGGACAGTGCTGAGAAAATTCGGCTACAATGACCATTTAAAGCTAACATCAGACTATTTAAGACCAAGGTATGTCGGATAGAGTTAGAGTTTATAGATATAGATATGGAGGAGTTTTAGTGTCCATTTGGCTACTAGGAATAAGCTATGACCTTAATTGTCATTTCTGATTATTTACAGATTAAGGGTAGGAAGAGGATCCTCAACAGAGCTGTCCCATCTTGGATATCAGTTTCTAACTACACTCTTTGAAAAGTATGATCAGGTAAGATAATAATAATAATGGAGGTTGTAAGTTGAAAAGAACCAACTTCAGAGAAATATAGTTTAATGAGCTTCCTTAACATATTTTAATGTATTCTGCTTTATATGGTGATACCCATGGCCAGCTAAGTTCAGAGTCACAATAACAATGGATGGGTTAGTTTTCTGGATATTTTTTCTTGTGATGAAGAGTGCAGGAAATAATGATGATAATAGTGTAGATTCGTATAGCACTGGTATCCTTCAAACAAGATGCTCATGGAGCTTGAAGTCTGGACTAGTAGCTCTATCAAAGACTTTCTTCGCTCCTAAGGGTTTCTTTGGGTCTGTGCTACCCGGTAACTAAGGTACTAGCAACTCTCTTCGTCCACCACAGGGGCTGTCTGTACCAGTACACCAGCCGGGTTATCCCCCTACTTGCCTTGAATAATGTACTGGGTTCTTTATTCAGTAGTACACAGGAGCCATTATGTACACTGGGCCTACAGTTTATTGTCCTTATCCGAGAAAACTTGGTCTACCACTAGAACCATAGACAAGCGTGCCATTCAAATCAGCGCCGATATTAGTTTCTAATTGACTCCAACAACTTGTGCTTGTACAGGGCCTAGCTGGACAACCCACATGAAAAGTGGATCTGATAACTTTATTGTTTCTTTTTTAATTAGGATAAGGATGGTGCGTTGTCGCCTGTTGAGCTGCAGAGCATGTTCTCCACCTGTCCCATAGTGCCATGGGGCCCAGATGTCAACATGTCAGTAGAAACGAACGAAAACGGCTGGATCACTTTACAAGGCTACCTAGCGCAATGGACGTAAGCACTGTGATTTAAATATATATTTTTTGGGTTGGCTCATATTTTAAGCATTTATCCATCAATGCTTGTCTTCATCCGTTGATTGATGGTCTTCCACCATGTAGTGTCATCAAGGTCTATACTTCTTGGCTAACTATCAGAATAGAGCTATAACATGGTGGTTACAATCTTTCCCAGCCAATGCCAAGTTCATTTGTTAATATCATGAATTTTTTTTATCAGTTTAAAAACAGCTTCATCCCAGCAAATGTATATCCATGCTGAACACCATGTAATCATCCTCACTCCCTTTTCTCTAAATATCTTGAATGGTTTGATGTGCAGTTGAATAAGAAATTTAATTGGATTTTTGTGTTGTCCTTTAGGTTAACAACTTTACTCGATGTGCCAAGAACGTTAGAATACCTGGCGTACCTGGGCTACAGGTACATCATGGCTGATCATGAAAACCAACTCTCTGCCATTATAGGTGAGTGTATAACTGATAATTTTAACATTTTTATTTCTTAAAGTTGTTTCTTTAATGTTTAGCTGAAGTAAAGTGGCCCTTAATATATTATACAAAATAAAAATACTGGTCCTAATAATGTATAGTATATTTAGTCTATCATTAAATTGTACATAAATTATTTTAATTTAATGATTAGACCTTAAATTGACCTTAAATTAGGATTTACAACAATTTCATTTACGACCGATACTTGGACCCAATTTTTATGTTTAATGAAGGCTTGTCAGTGCAGTCAAGACATCTAACTTGGTAATTTTAGACCTGACTGAACTTCATTACTGATTTTTTTTCCAAATGATAACTTGTGGAGTTTTGTGGGAACTCGTTAACCAAATATTTGATCAACTGACTAATCAGAACAGCACTAGGAATGCACGCGTCTCACAAACACATATGTTATCCCACAAACGCACGTGTTCGCATATGTTTTAACACTGCCGCCTTGTAGGACCTTATCAACAATATCCAAGGGGCGGAGCTTAGCGGAAAGGTCCATTACTGGCACTTATATGCTTAAACTTCTTCCTTACAGTAACTAGAGATAGAAAAATTGACGTGGAAAAACGGCAGACCTCCAAAACAGTGTTCCAATGCAATGTGATTGGCCCAAAGGGCGTGGGTAAAACCTCGTTTCTGCAAGGACTCGTATCGCGGACTTTAGACTCACCCAACATGAAACCTGAACATCTTTCATCCTATGTTATTAATACAATACAGGTGTATGGGCAGGAGAAGTACCTACTGGTTAGTTTATTATTTAGTTATATATATATATTTTATCTCAATCATTATTGGGAGAGCAGTTTTAATGCTCAGTCAGCTAAACTGTAGCTGTTTTTTAAAATTTTGTTTTAATTAAAGGATGCAGGGCAAAGGTTTAACCTTATAGCAAGGCCCTAAAAAAGATGGGCCTGCTTTTGTATGCCCAAAACAAAGCCAGGGGCCGTAGCTGACTTGCATTTAAGGCTGTAACATAGTGTGAGCCATTTTTACAGCCGGCCCACAATGCAAACTGAGGTTTCTAAGCCTGGTCGGAAGTGAGCAGTATGAGGCTTGAGCTCCCAACCACAAGGTTGACCACCTGAGCAGCAACCGCTGTGCATATCACCTCCCTCCCAACCGTGGGGATCTCCTTAGTTCAATTCTATCTGATACTCACTGTGTTTTAGCTGGTGGATTGAGTTGCAAGTTTGAAAAGTATACTGTCTTTTGGATGGAATGTTTCTGGTCGTGTTTGAAATATAGTATACAGTATAATACAGTATATAGTAGCCAATGTGCAAGAATGCAGTAAACTCTTTGTAAGAGATTAGGTTCCCCAACTGGAAATATGTCTTCTGACTTTAATGGGGGTTATCCTTGGGGTGTTTCAACTAAAGGCATTTTATCGAACTTAAGACACTTAAGTCCCATCTAATTGTAGAATTAAGCTGTCTTAATTTTATTTTAAGACCGCTCAAATCACCACCAGTGTTGGCACTGATGTCCCATGGGCCCAGCACTAAAATGAGACCAATTAAATATTTTACTTTACTAATTTTTGTCTTCTTTTTTTTGTACCACATCTAGCTCCATGAAATTGATGTTGGAATTTCAGATGAATTAACATCGGAAGATCTTGCCTGTGATGTAGCGTGTTTGATGTATGATATATCTGATGCTAGAACATTTGAATATGCGGTGCATAATTATAAGGTGAAGATTCAGTTTTGGTTATCCTAACAAAAACTAGTTTCAGGCACTATCGCTCAACTTGAGATACGATTCAGATTTACAAATAGGCTAATATTAAAAGTCTTAAAGACTGTAATTAATCCATGCTAGCATGGGTTGGACTATTCATCATGATAGCTTTCCTCCAGTCATTTGTATTCTGTGCAGTTATCCTTAACATATGGAGGTCACTGGCAACAACTTGCTCCCAAGTCTTCCTTGGTCTTCCTCTACCTTTGATCCCTACACTTTGACCCAGTTATTGTCATTCATTAAAAAAATCACATGAAAAGCTTTGAACCGTGACCTAAATTGGTCAACTAGCCATTTAACAATCATTGATGATTACCTCCTACCAAATCATGTTCATTCAATGCTTTGCATTATAATATTGTTGCTAATATATCAAAAATATTCTCCACAGACACACTTTGAACGACTAAATGTTCCATGTTTAATGATTGCGGCGAAAAGCGACATGCACCCTGTCCGACAGGATCACGAAATACAGCCTGCTCAGTTTTGCTCGCAGCACAACTTGCCACCTCCCCAGACTTTCTCCAGCAAGGCCAGACCAAATAAGGACGTGTATACAAAACTATCCACAGTTGCAGCTTATCCGTGAGTCTTCCCTCTGAGTTCAATCTTACAGTAGTTTGTAGAACATTAGTATCTTACAACTAACTGGTTGTGAGATGTTGCAGCTTAGCGATCTACCTTGAATATTTAACATGTATTCCCTGCACTAGTGTTTCTCATGATATGCAACTAGTATGTACATCCTCATTGGCCAAAGCCTCTCCATGCTTTGATTTCTACATTCAAGAACATGTGTTGTCCAGTAGATTACAAAGAGAATGTGCATAATTTATATTCATTCAATCATTCATTCATTCATTTATCCATCCATCCATCTATCCATTCATCCACCTATCCATCCGACCATTTATTCATCCATCCATCCATCCATCCATCTATCCATTCATTCATCTATCCATCTATCTATCCATCCATTCATCCATTCATTCATTCATCCATCCATTCATTCATTCATCCATTCATTCATTCATTCATTCTTCTATCCATCCATTCTTTTATTCATTCATTCATTCATTCTTCATCCATTCATTCATTCATCCATCCATCCGTCCATCTATCCCTCCATTCATTCATTCATTCATTCATTCATTCTTCCATTCATTCATTCATTCATTTATCCATTCATTCTTTCATTCATTCATTAATTCATTCATTCGTTCTTTTATTTATCCATCTATTCATTCATTCATTCGTCGCATTTCCTTAGATTAGTGTTATTTTTAATTATGTCCCTCATTACATTTCTTTTGAACTTTCAAAAATAAAATGGCACATCACAGAAATCATTATCAATATTTTTTTTAATGGCTGTCATTCAAACATAAGTTAAATCATAATTTTTTTTTCATTCCTCGTACTTCATTTTAGTTATTTGTCATCATCATCCCATGAGGTTAGGTCGTCTCATTATCTTACTCCATCTGGTGCGATACGTTACTGATTCTAGGTCCACCAATCGTCCATCCATCTTTTTCTAGGTCACCCTCTTGGTCTGCTTCCATTTGTAAAGCATGTTAATGCTTCACCATAAAAACAGATTTTATATTATTTTAAATTCATACACGATCTTTTAATAGAAATTTTGTGTCATTAAAATGAATGTCATATGATTTGTGCATGGTTTTGCCAATCAATACCAAGCTTTGTTTTGCCACATTCCTGCACTAACCAGCTGTCAATGCGTACTGTGTGTAACTGATCTATGTTTATTGAAGTTATCGTATGTTATGTTTTGTATTTCCCACATAATCAACAGTACTCTTTGTATGTACTGTACATGATTCAAATATTAATTTGTTTTAAAGTAAATATTGGCAGCTTTTATTGGAGTGATTTCTAGTGTAGTTAACATAAAATATAGGCTCTGATTATTCTGTGGTTTTGCCCATAAACAGCATATGGGTATGAGTATGTCCTATTACACCCTATGGGTATGACCAAATCACAGGTATTTTTCACAATGTATTTGATCATATGCATTGAGGGTAAGACAGACACTGACTATTATAGGTAGACATGACATCGTTTTAGGACGAACAGTTTTGACTCTTTATAATTAGTTTTCTTCAGGAAAAACCAGTTGTCTTTAATTGCATGATTTACAACAAGTAATATAAAGGTGTACAAACATTTCTTTAGATTCATTTAAATGATAAATACTCATCATTTATTTTCATTATAGAATTTTTATTTTTATTTAAAGTTTCAAAATAAATCACCCAATTTTTTGGTTTCCAATTAGTTAGGGCTTATTATTTTCTTAATATTACTGACTACCTCTTCTTTCCTTATCTTATCTATATCCTTTTCCAGTACCTATTCCATTAAGATTTTCCTGTTATTTATTTCAGCCGTTTTAAAGGTGTAGGCCTACTTGTTGAGCACCCATCTGCCGTCTGGATCAAGGAGACTATTCTTGGCTCTTTATTTTTTGATAACAGGTTAATTCATATAACTGCTCCTGCATGCTAAATGACCTGCTGCATGGAGTCTATTAATTTAACGACCAATGCACTATGACACCTCTTTGGAGTCATTCCCATTGCTAACTGTATTTTTAATTTTTTAAATATTTTTTTTTGTGTGTATGCAAATTTGAGAGTCATTAACTTTTGCAGTAATTGCCATTAATGTGGTCATTAATTGTAGCTAATAATGTAAATATCTATGTTTATTTTATTTAACATTATAAATATTTGACTACAGATGGTGTAATTTTGATCATTTTAACATGCACTTTAAAACTTTACCATGCCAAACACCCATACATTAACCTAAACAAACACTATCATATTTCATTGTGTTAAAATGTGCACAATCAGGTAAAAATATACCTACACATTTACCCAAACAAACACCAACATCTCTTTTATAACACCCTACAAATGTCTTGCATAGGAGCATTTGTACTCACCAATTTAAACAAATAATATTCATACAAACACACAAAGAGTATTTAAACAAAGATCAACATGTTACTCACACTACAAACCCACATATCTACCCAAACACATACCCACACTGTTACCCAAACAAATACCCACACCTGTCAGCAAAGACTCGAATAACTTTTATATCTACAGTAACATAAACTATTGCGGGTGCATATTGTCTCTGAGCAAATTTGACTAACTTCAGAAAGTAAATTTAGGGGTTTTTTTTGCTTTCAATTTTTGCATGTTTAAAATCTTAACATAATAACTTATTATTTTCAGGTTATTTGGTTCATTTTTTCCAATCATAATTGTTTTATTAATAATTCCTTTGTTTTTATTTAGTTGCCCTCAATGAGACTGTATTTCTGGCATTGTCAAGGATCCCAAGTCTTTTTTGATACACAGGAGTCTATTAGAAAATTGACTGTCTCCCACAATCTTGCAACCAGGCAAACAATTTTCCCACACTACTGTAACCCCCCCCCCCCACAAATCCAAAAAGCTTGCATGTATTTACTGCTGTAGAGTTGATTGCCCCTCAAGTCAGCTGGGCATGGGTGTATCACCAACAAAAAGACTACTGCATATAGATTAATACCAGTTATTGGAATCTGATCAAATATTAATAGCTTTTTATACTAGTGAAGAACGCCTGGTATCACACATGTGGGTCTTAATGCTGAATGAAAGGGGTTCATTGTTAATAACAGTGGTGTGCTGTATGATCTCTGTAGTTTAAAGTGCTGAAAAGGTCTGTTTCACTCCAACACTAGACAAATCTGCCCATTTCCATTATCACTGCTTTTTCATTTGTTCATTTATTTGAAAATTAGTTTTTATATACTGGTTGTTGGTGTTAACATTGATTAAACTAGCAACAGATATGTTTTATGTTGTTTAACGTGAAATTAGTGTGTGTAAATTTCTCTAAATGTTACTAAAGTTTGTATTAATAACTTTCCTATGTCTTTTGTTGTGGCTGTGCACTATTGTTTTTGTTTTGCTTGAATGCTAAAGCACTGCACGGACTATCAAATTTTCTGTTGTATGTCCATAGATGGTCTTAATGTGCCTATATATAGTCGTGATGTGATGTCATCATGACCATATTTAGGCATGTCACATGTCTGTGTCAAATGAAAGTTTATAGTCTGGACAAGGCTTTAATCCTGCATCCCAAATCTTGAATATTCGCCTTCAAAAGTTGGTTTGTGGTTCATTGTGGTTAAGAAGCATTAAATTAAATCCTTTATTTTCCAATGTCATTAGTTGTTAAAAAAGCATATTTTTTAGTTATATGAGATGAAATTTTTATTTTTAAAGTATGGAGCTTAACACACTCTTATCTCCTACCACAAAATGTGTACATTTCTTTGTAAAATCGTTGATAAGTGTATCTTCTGCCCATATGTCAAACTTGCTAATCAGCCCTCTCTACTATTTTTGCAGGCATATGAAGGGCGTTGCCCCCCAAGGAGGAAACTATGTGCTGAAGGCTGGTCTAGGGATTGTATTATTAGGAGTAACAGGCTACATCGTGTACAAATACTACAAGTCCAAATAACACAATGAAGAGAGCTTATAGAACACGGTACAATTTTAATTTAAAATTGAAAACCTTTACATTGATTATCCCGTAAGGAAGAAGACAACTCTTCTAATCAATGTAAACGAAGGTACTGATCAGGAATGAAATGGAGTAATCATTTTTGCAATTATATTTTCAATTCGTCTTACAAATTTTGACTTTTCACAGTAGGTATATCTTTGATAGACATGGTACAAAAGAATGAGACTGATATTAATAAATTCAGAGAGTTCCATTTAAGCTGTATTTGCTTTGGATAAATGTTAGTCAAAATAAACATCGACCCAGTCACTTTGACCAGAAAAAATCAAGTGCCAACAACCCCATAGCATTCTCCTTAGTCAAATTACACGAGACGTGCTGCAAGTATAACTGAGAGAATTACTCAGGAAAATAATTTTCCACTGCCAACAATGTGACAAGTTATATCTTCTGGAGTACATGCCACAACTGTGCGCACAACTTTATTTTTTTTTTGCAAAAAGTATCAGCCGCGGTACGATATCACCGAGTTTAACTTGGCCTTCGTCTTGGTCAAAATTGATCCAATGCAAATACGGCTTAGATAAAAATGTTACGTATGTGTGGGGCAATAATAATAATGAATTTTTTTTATTTATTTGTGTGTCCAACTGTTGTGACTGCACTCATTGCGAGCCTTAGCCTGGTGCATACCTTGTCAGCTGACCTGTGGTTGACATATTTTCCCATGCTCTATATTAATACTTACCTGATACAACAATTATTATTTGCAATGTTTTGTGTTTATGATATTCATAAACATGTTAATTAAAAAAGTTTGTTTCCTTTGTGTGTAATTGGATTCTATAGGAGATAGTTATTTATCAAAGAGTGCAGTTTTATGCAATTCATTGTATTAATAATTGCACTTTATGGAATATGATTGACTTCCTCTGAAAATAGTGGAACATTATGGAGTATGTATGATTTCCCCTGAAATTATCAGTCATGAATATGTGTCTGATTTAAGAGCTATTTATTGTTTTATCATTTTCTATCATTGTAATCATATTAATAGGGTGTTTTCGATTGCTATGACATCGCGAGTCTAAGATGAGTTCATTCGTCTGTTGCCATGGTGGCTCTGTGATACATTTGGGGGTGGGAGTGTGAAGGTGTTTGACACAAGGTCAGTAAATTTCCCAACTGGGGCCAGCTGGTTCAAAGGTCAAGCCCTAGTGTGGGTCCTGGTGCCTAGACATCCAACTATTTTTAACAGTTCCAACATGTTTTAGAACGCATTATGCCCAAAGAATAAAAAAAAGAAAGGAAATAGTTCTCTTATTTTTTATGGTTGGAGTTGTGGCTGTCAGAGGCTTGGTCTTCCTCCCCCCCCCCCACTTCCCTGTTAGCACCGCCAATGAGTCTAACAATCGGCCCAAATCACATCCTATGATTCAGATAAGTATATGACGTCATTATTACCAAAGCTTGCAAGTTCTTACTGCCATTATGCAATCGAAAACTCTATTTTTTATGAGGGAGCGTTGCTAGGAGAATGATATGTACAGTATTAAATAAATCCTGATAATCCAGTGCTATATTATTATGATGTGGGCAATCCTGCAATGACAAAACATTTTAAAAAAGTGCTCATTTATTATTAGTTGTTTGAAGATTTAGGAAACAATTGATTCACAATGGTGTCATGCATTCGTTAGTACAGAATTTGTGACGTAATTTGTACAGATAACTCATTTCTCTTGGATGGATGATTTCATGCCATTACTGTATTAGTACATAATAAAGTAAGACTGATATACTAAATGCAGTGTTTTCATCTCTCTATACAAGCTCTCAGCACATACAGTCATACTTTTCTTTGAAAAAGACACCAAAGGATAAGGAAGTCCAAAGACAAGTTTCGAATGGAGTACCTCTGCTGGTGAATTTGGCAGATACCAGGAAACTTTACCCTTTTTCTTTTCAAAAGAGAGTACAGTGTTCTTAACATGGGCTATATTGCACACAGGACCAAATGGATGATGCACCATTAAGTGCCATTGATCGATCCACAAATTCAAAATAGAGGGGCACAGGGAGAGTGCACAATCCCCACAGCCCCACCATGGTTGGGGCTGAGGTAAGAAAATTTGTGTTTATGGCACCTCTAGATGGCCGGAAATGACACTCTCAGACCTACAGTATATTTGATTATAATTTTCCTCTTTTTTTCCATTTTTTAAATAATTCTGAAAAAATTAGGTGGGTGGGGAGAGGGGCGAGTCGGCTCGGTTTCGATTAAATCTACCACTGATTAGGTATATTGCATTCAAAGCCTCTGGCTAAAATACAAGGAGAGCAGTGATGGGAATCGAACCAGGACCAAGGTTATGTAAGGATCTACATGGTCCAGTGCACGCACAGTTCCTATCACCACTTACTACCTACCGTCTACTGACTTCCTTAAACTGAATCCAAGGGTGAATAATAATGTTAATAGTGTGCTGTATGTGTTGGTTTTTTTTTTAAACCAAGATGTTTGGTGGAAAAAGGTTTCGATTTATACATATTAGGAATGTTTTAGTCCTACTTTTGTATTCAGAACTTACACTGGGTGCCACACATTCGACTGAAATATGTATTGAGTGTAACAATTATATAAGTTTGTATCTTACACAAATAACGTAGCCAACCTTGAACGCTAGTACTATTTTACTTTCATGAATGAACACACATTTCATGAATTCGTGAGATTAAGTGACGGTACTGTACCATGTTTAATGTTTAGCCAATTAGATTCCCGAAGTATAGTATAGTTCATAATCGCTTCATCGTGTGGAACGGAATTTGTAATGAATGGGTCTTCAATAACTGAACTGTATTCATAGTAGTTGGTGGGTTTATATTGCCAACTGATGCATGGAATCATCTTGTCCTTCGAAATTTTCCCGCGATCAGTATTTTATATGAAACACCTTATGGTAGTAATTGAATATACAAACGTTTTTGTATATATATATATACAAAAGCAGGGGTGGGATATAGTCCCACCCCTGCTACGAATTTGATGTTATAATAACACAGTTGTTGGTTGTGTTTTTTGTTGTTGTTGTTGTTGTTGTTTCTTTTTTCTTTTGTTTTTTTTTTATAATGTAAATTTCAGCTAATAGCGTTTCTGCAAAGCCATGTTGTCATTTTTTGACAACACTGCATTTGCGAACGTTCTGACCTGTTTTGTTTGCGGGAAATGTATGCATATGGATCAGATATTCTTTTATAAATAGGCCTAAAAGACGCCAATATCGCAGACACACCCATTGAAAAAAGGCTTCAATCTTGGATAGCCGAAAATTGTATAAGCCCTCTACTCAATGTTCTAAAGCCAAACCCATGATAGAAATAAACATCAAGAGAAATTCTAAATTATATTTAAAAAAAAAAAAAGGTTTGCACGAGTAAAATGATGTACTAGTATGTGAAGGTTGGCGAGTCAACATTTTATCTAAATTGTTCAACAAAGGGATAATAATTGGTACCTAGCTGCCTGAAATCGGTCTTATGAACAAATACTAAAAACCTTAATTTAGAGACCAAACATTCTGTACTAAAAAGGATCTTACTAACTGATGTAAATCATGACAGAGTGGAGAAGGATAAACGCAGACGTGACAAAACTCTTCAAATTGATACAGGAGGATTGAAGAACGCGAGGATTCAAACAGTTTAGAAGGCCTTCATATCTCAATTTGAAGAAACCTTTTCCCCCATGAATAGATGCGCTTTATCACCTAACCTATAAAATGTGATGACTTTAACACGATATAAAAGCAACAACTCCAATAGTTCTATAAATAATAATCTTATTAATAATTATTTGATCTCGCTGTACATATTTGCTAATAAAAAAAAACCGTATTATTGAATTCAATGCATGAATTCAACTATAGATTTCAAATATTTACAGTACTAAACGTGTATAAATAGAGTGACTTACATTTTTAAAATGCATAATTGCTTAATAATATACAAATACAGTATAATATAATATTTTCATTGGTAATAAAATTAGGTTAGGCTAATGATTATGATAGTGATTAATTGTGATAATAATCATAATTATAATAACAAGGTTGGCCTAATACTTAATACAAATCTTTAAATTAAGAATCTGATCTGATTCAAAGCCCCAGAAGAAAAAATGTTTGATATGTTGTAACTGGGGGAAAGGGGGAGTGACCACCCCTTTCCACTTCTGTCTAGAGTGACGAGTACCTATTTATACATCTGTTGTCTATTATACACCTATACGTAGGAACAAGTTATAATTTTTGGTGAGGGGTGGGGTACAGGATATAACAATTATTGCCATATTATGTTGCGCAATATAGTCGTTCTGAAAGTTGCAATAAGACAATACTTTGGTCTATAATATATCGAATATGCTCTGTCGCTGCTGGCCTGAATTAGAATATGCCCTCAATGTAGAGTCGGGATAACTTGAAGTAGAAACCGCCAATAAAGAAAGACGAAACTGCTCCTCCCCATGCGCAGAAAAATGCCCAATGGAAATTAAACGACTTCTCTGGTACAGGGCCTAGAGTCTCCTCGGGCCACCATCTATCTTCCATTGAAACTTTCACTGTGAATAGCACGCATCCGGTTAACGTAAATATTCCTATGGAAAAAGAGGAGACGATCGAACTATATCAGTGATTTGGCTATATTGTAAATAAATAAGTTGATAGCATTAATGTTTAACATTGACGTCATTCACATATCAAATGTCCGGTTTGTGTAAAATCACTACATTTTTCCATAGTGTTCCCTCTGCAATCGTTACACCAGTGACTTTCCCGGTACAATCAAGGTTCCCATGAGTGATATTATTGAAATCAGAATTTTGAAGCTAAATTAAGATGAAGTAATGATAAAATATCATCGTCTGTCATAAATATTATAGGAAATTCGTTTCAATGAAAACATATATAGGTTAATTTGAAAAAAAAAACAACAAAAAAACATATGAGTTATTACCATTCAATGATAAACATTTTGATTTTGAAACAAACGTTTTTCAGCTGGTTTGAATGAGCCTCTGGTATGATCATCTGTACAAATTCTTACCTGCGAGAATAAAGAAGTATCCGGAGCACTGGATGAAAGATTTTTTCTGAAACTTGATCGTTAATATTGCAATTACTTCTGAAAGAAACGCTGTTAAGGTTCCAAGAGTCATGAAGATCACGGCCGATAGCATTATCTCTGGAAATTTAAGACAAGTATTATAAGGTATATTAATAATTATTATAATACTGTAATAATAACAATAATAATAATATTAGTAATTATCATCGTAAGTGTTAATAATTATTATAATACTGTAATAATAATAATTATGTTAGTAATCATCTTTGTAATTATTATGAAATAATTATTAAAACCATTGTTTTATTTGGAACTGAATATTGGCAGAATAAGGATAATATGATGATGTCGTAGTGGATGATTACAATAATGAAATGATGATGATAGGCATAAATGATGATGATGGTGATGAGGATGATAACGAGGATAATGATGGTGATGATGATGTTTTTGTTGTTATTGTTGATAGCAAAACATGAGAGGATGGTGAAAAATGATGACGTCACCAGCATAAATAATAACAAAAGTGGTATTCCAATGGAAGATTCAACAAGGTAGGGAATAATACCTAACCTATACTTGAGTACACAAACGTACCGTAAAGCCGTGTATAAAAGGCATAGCCAGGCCCTTCTCGTGGTTTCTCTAAATAATTTATTATTTCACACTGTGAATCTGAAAGGCGAAAAAACAATAGTAAATCACCCCTCCATGTGATATTCACGTCATTTATAATTGTACTGATAGTAACCGTGTTCTCCCAGGCCATAATTAAAATAATGCTAAATAATACAATACGAATAGACCAATACTGTTTACATAGATATTCTGAGTACACACAGTATAGTTTATGTTTATACCGACTTAACAAAGATAGCAACGCAAGTCGTATTTTGCTCTGTATAGTCCAAACTCTATGGTTTTTCACAATGGACACCACGTTCGATTAGTAAAATGACTAGAAGCTGCAGCACAATGTCGTATTGTTTACAAATCTAAATGCATTCAAATATTATTTTCAATAATAATTATTGAAATATTAATTATTAATAACATAGGCCTAATTAATAATTAATAATAATGTTAAGCCCGTGCAAGTTATACCCTGACCACGCCTGCTCTTACCTGTCAGTTCTATCGACGATGTGTAATAGCACTTCCTCCATACACCTTCATACTGAACCAGGTCTGTCCTATTGTAATTACCATACTCGTATTTCACCCAGTACTCTGACAGCGTCCCGACCCCTGTCGCAAGAAAAGAAAGAAACCCGAGGGCCGCAAATGACACCGTGTACTGGCTATATGGACGCCAATAATCCACCGGGTACTGCGCCATGGTCACCATTAGTTCTAGCATGGAGGAATGGTTCTAGTGCTAATTCGAGGTGTGTTCTTGTTTACGCCTCATTAGCCTACCTTTTATTATAATAATTCTCTCATGGATTAAGCTCTATTATTCATATGATATATTATGAATAGCAAAGCTATAAAATCAACACCCTGTTTCTTTTGTTAACCGGAATGTATAAATAAATCCGTTTCTGAGCTCGATGACTGGGTAAACATCCAGTACTACGATTCGAAGTTATCATGTTGAAAGCAGAAGTTCGCTGCCGAAAAATTCAAGTAGGCTTATGCTTACCTTTGTTTATGTAATTTCAACAAGTCATAGCGGTAAACGTAAACCATTATAAAATTCTACTATATAATGCAGTTAATTATCACGGATTTATTGTTATTCTAATGCCATTTAGTGCTTGAGTGTTTAAACGATTATTTACTTACCTTTGGATATTTTATCAGCTTTTGGCTCCAGACCTCTGAAAAAAAAATATGATGCTTTTTTATTTCATAGCGGCCTCCTTGATGATAATAACATTAACACGCCACACACGCAGTTTTATTTCTTATCAATGGTAGTTTTATTTGCAATTTTACTGTCCAAAAATTATCGATTACGTTTGTGACTTATAATGTTATGACGGCAGATTTTAAAAAATCAATAAAATTATATTGCTATTATACTCAAAATAAATTCTTTGAGAAAAAGCAATGTATTTTTTTTTATTAGGAATTCGAAATCAACGCCCTTCGTTCAATTGCGATTGACTGACACTTCTTTTGGCCGGGTTTCTTGAAACTGGTGAGGACTACGAGAGGTGTTGTTGATTGGAAATACATTAGAGAAGCATAGTTCAGTGTGTTAAAAATAAACTACCAATTCCTAAACCATTTTAGTACCTTTATTTCTACCGATTAGGAATGCGAAATTTTGAACTTTAAGCCAATAACACTCTACTTTGAAATGCCACCACATAACATTTTAGATCTACATTTTCTAAGCTCGTCTTTTACGACCGCGTTCGAAGAAAATTCAAAACAATTTAACAATACAGCTCAGAGGTATATAATATTCTATATACTGAAATGATTTTGTTTTCACTTGAGATAGTGTTTTGAAATTTGTTAGAACAACAGTTTATAAAATTAATGGGTATTACTGTAGTATTTTGCAAAAAGTTTTGTATTGATGCAGACTATAGAGGGCGACTGTTAACTATAATAAGTCAAGGATAACAACATGATTGATGGTAGGCTGTGTAAGCCAGAACGAACATTATCTAAAATAATCGATTTCTATTAATTTTATATACATATAAGATTAAATTAGAATTAACAATGAATTAGCTTCGTTGTATTATGAAAAAAAAAATTAAAGTAACCTAAGTAAACACTTAAAAAAAAGTAAATGCTAAAGTAAATTAATTGTAGGCCTAATAACTTTATTGCCCCCTGTGAAATGGATCAAGTAAGTTGTATAAACATTTACACAAATAAATATAGATATGGCTATACAACACAAATAAATAGGCCTATACAATTTGATTTCGCACAGATACAGTTGGACACTGTCGTTGAGTGAGCTTTTATAATCCTAATGAAATATTTATTTAAAATAAATCCCAATGATGTAACAAAGCTGTTTATAAACAGTATTTAGAAAATAACTGGAAAGTCGATTGCTGTGTATAATTGCCGCTTTTTTTTGTGTTATTTATCGTCTTGTTTTGGCTTAGCCGTTTCGACTTAACCAAATGTCGCTACAATATGCTGCAGACTACATGGTAGTGCTGGTGTTACCGATTGCAAGTAGGCCTAAGGTTACTGTATATGGTTGGCCTGAGGTTGGTGATTAAGTTTGCCTTACGATTCCAGTGCTCCGTGTTTAACGGTCTTCTGTTTGTCAAAATTTGTCTGGATTTTTTTTCTCAATAAAAAAAAAGAAATGTTTGTCTTGAAAAAGACGGCAGTAGCACAGCGATACATTCACTATTGGCAGTCCTTAATTGCCCCATGTGCCTTAATAAATAAATTAATAAATGTATAGACATTTAATTTATTGCAATCTAGGAGCAATTTATTGCTATTATTATTATTTTTTTATAATTATAATTTATTGCTAGTGGTTCTATTCAAACATTTAATTTATTACGCTATTGCTCCATAAAACACTTTAAAATTAAATCATTGTTTGTTTTATGCTAATTGTAATAATTATCAATAGAGTTAGACCTGACGAAGCGGTCGTAAAAGCTAATGGAGCCGACAATTGTATAGGCCTACTATCAATATTAAGTACCCGCGTCTCGGTGTGTAAAGGTCGTCTCGCCCACCCTAATTAAAATGGGATAAAGTTGAGAAACACATTGGCAACCTTCTCATTCAAGATGGCAGCGCACAATAAGCTGTTATGTGCTTTTCTCCTCTCTTTGTTTACATGGGGTGTATATGATGTTCTGGTTAACGTTGAGCAAAATAACTGTTCAATGACATACATGTTTCAAAATCCAGTATATCTGGTGAGTTTCATTAATTTTCTAGGCTAATTTGTTGGAGAAATTTTGTATTAATTTAGGCCTTTCGCTAGGCCCAGGTAACCTTGCCCACAGTCACAGTGCAATCATTTTTCAGTGCCAGCCGCGCCGAGGAGGATGTGCTGTGTGCCCTCCCGGTCAATGTTTAACGTGGTCCAGACATGGGCCTAGCCTTCATTGCATTGGACTATAAAAATATTATATTATGGCCAATCCCAGTTCCTGATTAGACATAGGCAGTTTGTTAATTTTTTTTTGACAAGGCCTACTGTGGCAGTGTGATTTTTGAATAAATAATTCACTGAGTTATATGGGAGAATTTGGGATTTTTTTTGGAATTTAAACAATACCCAGAAAACGCTTGTAACTAATGTTAATTAACTGAGGAGCTCCTAGCTAGGCCTAGCCTAGTACGGGGTACAGATATTAACGCAAATTTGGTTTTCCTATCTTTCCCATCAAGCCTGTACCTGGGATGAAGAATGAGGTCAAAGTTGCCTTCCCACGCTACTCATTATACCTGTATGGAGAAGGAGAGTATGCTCAACAATCTAGGTATGCTAAAAATAATATCCTAAAAATGATAAGAAAAATAATAATCATTGTTTATTCTTGTATTTCACATAAACTAAACAAAGCAATTATCTAGGGCCCTGGGGATAATCTCCTGTACAATACTATAATGTAAAGTATTTTAATTGCACGGATGATACCTCAAAAACTAGCTCAAGTTTTCGCGGTAAATTGCTAGGAAAAATGGTCAGCAGAATCGTAACTGCATTAGTTATATGTTAAGATTAGTTCAAAGCCTAATTTTTGACAAAATTTGCTTGGAAAATAGGCCCTTATTTTCCGAAAAACCGACGTTAAGGGGAAAATAACACAAAAGATATTCCCCTTAAGTCTGACTTAGCGCATATTATTATTATTATTATTATTGTTATTATTATTATTATTGTTATTATAATTATTATTATTATTATTATATGTGCTCTAGGATCTAACATTTAAATAACTGCATTTGCTGTAATACTGAATTTCCAAAGCTATATATTAGCTCCTCCAATACCGTCGTGGTACAGACAGGTTTTAATTTGCTTATATTAGCAACCAATGGTGGTTTCTTTAGGCCAGGTTACTGTGCAAATACAGTATGTGTGCCTAATGCTAAGTCAACTTGATCTTCATTCAGGGTGACCCTCATAATCTCTGTTCAAATTTGCTCTCTGTTTACTTAGTAATTTAAGTGCATAAAAGTTAGACTAATATTATATTAATCACTAGAGGAATCACATTGAATAGTAATGCATAGACATATAGCCATTATGGAGGTAATTACCACAACAGCCATCACATTAACCCCCTGTAATCTAGGCTTAAATCACAGGTCATAAAATCTGCTGGTACTGAATAAAGCCTAAAATGTTTCACAACTACCAGTTGAATTCCCAATGCAATTTACCTACCTACATATGTTTGTACCAAATACTGATGAACATTCTGAAATATTGATAAATTGTCTACAAATTTAAACCTATCTTCCCACTCCAGAATTACCATGTTTTGTAATTATTTTTAATATAGTAATAACTATTTTATCATAATTTTTGTTCCATATTTTTGTTCCAAAATTTTTAATAAATTATTGTTCTTAATACCTATTTTTAATAAAAATATAATTTTGAATAAGAATATCATTATTCCAATAGCATCTTTAAGAGGTCTTGCCTTCTATTCCCAGGGTCTAGGGTTCAAATCCTGTGACTACACCACAGGATTCTTTTTTTCTCTGAAACTAAAACATATCCCCTCCCTAAGCTTTTTAATGAGTCTAAGTTTATAAAGCAATCACATTATTTGATTTATTTAAGAGGGCCTCTGACTATTAGCTGACCATTCAGAATAAGCTGGAAGACACACTCTCTATAAATATATTGTACAATAAATCTTCATAGACATTGAAAAGTCATAATACAGTATGATATTATATAATATATCCTTGAATATGGTACATTATGATATGTCATTATGATATAAAATATTTGTTGTTGTAGGAATATGAAACTTAAGGGTGTGCCAGTTCTATTTATACCAGGAAATGCAGGAAGTTACAAGCAAGGTACTGTATTTTCAGTTCAATTAAGATATATTTTATGATCCAATTAACCTGTTTTTTTGTGTAATATTTTCATTCATGATATTAGTTCTGTGCCAAACTATTTCAGTATAAGTAAAAATTGTTTAGCTTTGGTGGTAGCATGTAGAAAAATAAGTATAAAAGTGGTAATACTGTATGTACCAGGTTTACTCAAGAAAAAATAACACATGCTTCGCCAGAATGAAGGATAAATTTCAGCCTTTGTTTACCGTATGTCCATAGGTATATATTAAATATCTTGGGATAATGTGCTGTCTGTTTTTCAATACATGATTATTAATTGTTGTACTTGGGATGCATGCTAATCTTAATAGCTTAAAAATAGATTTTAACAATAATAATAATAATATTGAAATGATAAATTTACCTTGTTAATAGCATTTCAGAAATGTTCCAACCTAGAAAAATATATCTTTTCAATAAGCTGGTATAATAAATGGTAGGATAATAAAATCAAAACAATTTTTTTTCTACACAATAGTTCAGGTACCTTAATTAGACCATTGGCTCAAACTAAATTACATTATTGATTTTTTTAATTGCACATCAATTCAGGATTGTAACTTGAAGTAGTAGGATTATACTTTTCAAATTTGTTATCTTGTTATTCATATCTGTCTGGTCCCCTTAGTGTGGGCTTTACATTCAGTAATAATGATTGTTTAATTGTAATATTGACATTTGATTTCGTTAACAACAGTGCGTTCACTTGGCTCAGTGGCTCTGCGTAAAGCAGCACGATACAGCTTTCATTTTAACTATTTTTCGGTGGATCTTGATGGAGAGCTGGCCGGGATGTATGGCGGATTCCTACAAGATCAAACAGGTGGGGGAATTATGCTTACATATTTATTTATTTAATATTATTAAATAAATAATATTTGATAATATTATTATTATTTATTTGATTTATGTTATCTATTTCATTTTTTAATTTGTTTTATTTATTTCATTTATTTTATTTGTTTTATTTATTTTATTTTTTAAAATTTATTAAATTATTAAATTTACTTTTTACTTTACTTTTAAATTTTTTTTAATTCTTTCCAGCAAGCAAAGAATTATGTTTTATAGTAAAGTATGTTCCTTTTTTTAAACACAAATATTTCTATTTAATTTAATATATTTTAAATTATGATTCATATATAGTTTTAAGCTTAATCTGGGTTTTATTATTTTTCAGAATATGTAGCCCATTGTATTGAACATATACTAAGCTTGTATCAACACTTAAAGAACCCACCAACAAATGTTATTATAGTTGGTCATTCAATGGTAAGTTCTGTTCAATGTTTAAGACATTTATAGAGTGCCGTCTAGGAAAATTCATGGTTTAAAAAAATGCAAAGGTAATACACAAAAGAAGCAGGATTATATTATAGAATGCTTAGGTACAATATATATTAACAATAATAATAATAAATTTAGTAAGGTTACAATGTTATACTTTGTTTAATAAAAGTTTAATATTATTATTAAATACAAAGTATTTATAAATCAATGACAGGCTTGTACAATGGTGGTTAAAAATATAAACTATAAATTAAAATATTTAAATATACATCTTGATTGATTGGTACCTTGATTGATTGATTGATTGATTGATTGATACTGTAGATTGATTGATAGAGAATTTGTTCCCTCAAAAACAAAAATATTTATTCGATTTGATTGGTTGATACTGTATTTTTATTGATTAATATTATGATTGATTGATATCTTAATTATTAATATATCAGTTGATTGATTGATTGATTGACATTATAAATTCTTATTTGGTGTGCAAGTTGCTTATGTCCTTAGGCAAGACACTTTATTTAAGTATGTCTCTCTCCACCGAGGTGTATAAATTGGGTACCATTCCATATGCTAGAGAAGGTAAAACAGACTGCAATGCGGGAGGAGTGGCGAACCCCACCCCCCAACAGCCTTGCACAGTCTGACACAAGCGCCAAGGAAAGAGAGACAGGCATTCCAGCCTGTGAGCAAAGAGTTTCTAGTTTCGACCTTTACCATATTTAATGTTAGAAAATATGTTTACTGCTTTTTATTATAGGGTGGATTGGTTGCCAGGGCGCTGTTTTTGACGCCCAATTTCAACCCAAAGCTTGTAAGCACTATCATTACCCAGGCTACACCTCATGACAGCCCTGTGGTCAAAGCCGATAAGGATCTGGATAAGTTTCAATTATCTGTAAATAAGGTACTCATCAGTTTATTTATTATTTATCCATCATATAAATTTTACAAAAATATACTTGTGTATTGTAAACAATTAATGTAGGCTAAATCTTTGTCCAGAATATCAAATTTTATTTAAAATGCCTAAATATGGTCATGATGACATCATATCATGACCATATATAGACATATCATGACTATATATGGGCACATCATGACTATATATGGGCACATCATGACCATATATAGTCACATCATGACTATATATGGGCACATCATGACTATATATGGGCACATCATGACCATATATAGGCACATCATGACCATATATAGGCACATCATGATTATATATGGGCACATCATGACTATATATGGGCATAAAATAGTTTTTTTTCGAAGAAAATTTGATAGTGTGGACAGAGCTTCAGGCTTTATTCCTGCAAAGTGCAAGTTTCATTTTTATAATGAAAAAAGAGTTGACTCGCTATATATTAGGCCAAAAAGGTTTGTGTTGCCCAAAGTGGAAATTGAGGACCTATATAGAGGCAGACTGAAGAATGGGGTCTTTGCATTTTCTATTGTTGGTGAAAGAAGCTTCTGAGTTTTAGCCATTTTAATCACTAATCATAGGCTATGTTCTCACACGGCTGCTAACGGTTAGCAGGATCCAGATCCTGCTAACCGTTAGCTGCCGTACCTCCATACGAGAAAATCCCGATCCGGATACTAAAAATATGATGATTGAATCACTGGCCAATAAGAAACTGAAAATTGTGATTGGTTGATGATAAAAACATGCTCACTTGCTAACCGATAGCACTTGCTAACCCTTAGCGGTATCCGGATACCGCTAACAGTTAGCGCTAACCGATCAGGCGTTCTCACGCAGGTGTTAACGGTTAGCGCTAACAGTTAGCTCCCGATCCGGATACTAGGGCTCTTGTGAGAACCAGGCTTAAGTTATTCTACACCTGGTTAGAAATTTTGCCACTGCAGTTCAACATGAAAACACAAAAACAGTATTTTTTATTATATTAGAAGGTTATAAAAGTCTGACCTCCAAAATGTACATTGTTTAGTTAACGAGACACGTAATCCAATAAGGCAGATCGTTATATAATTGATGATCTATGCCTTGAGAATAATGACAAAGTAATGTAGTATCAATAATGAAAAGTATGAATTCATCAACTCTATAGTAGTTCTGATGTATTAGAAAACTTGGGGTTTCATAATGCAGTACAAAAGGTTCTATAATTCATTCGTTCCATTCCATCGCACTGTTAATTCATTGTAAAGTAGAGTAAATTTTTTTTAAATTTTTTTATTGATGTCCAGGTTCACCCCTTTCTTTTCTTTCAAATATTTTGTTAGAAGATTATAAAAGTCTGACTTCCAAAATGAACGATGTTTAGTTAACGAGACACGTAATCCAATAAGGCAGATCGTTATATAATTGATGATCTATGCCTTGAGAATAATGACAAAGTAATGTAGTATCTATAATGAAAAATATGAATTCATCAACTCTATAGTAGTTATCAGTGGCTCTGATGTATTAGACAACTTGGGGTTTCATAATGCAGTACAAAAGGTTCTATAATTAATTCGTTCCATTCCATCGCACTGTTAATTCATTGTAAAGTAGAATAATTTATTTTTATTGATGTCCAGGTTAACCTTTTTCTTTCCTTTCAAGTATTTTGTATTAAATATCATTGTAAATCATTCTGTGATGCATATGTTTGCAGTTTGGTTTATGTTTTTGTTTTGATTGTGAATAGAATGCATTTGAACCCAAAGTTCACCATTTTGAATAAAGAGGATATCAATAGAATTTACAAAAAGCAGATGGTAGTGTGTTCTTGTACTAAACATTTCCTGAAGGATTGCACTGAGTACACAAAAGCATGTGTTAATGAAAATTTCAAGTCTCAAATTGCTTCTTACTGTCTATTTTAAACATAAAAATATATTTTCTATCTTGGTGTAGTACTGTACTCTAATTTTTTGCAGGCCAATAATAATCAGAATGGCCCATAAAATCTATGAACTATAAACTACAGTATCATCATTAAAGTCATTATTATTATTATCATGATCATCATCATTATAATAATTAATAATAATCGTCATTATCACCATCATCTTCATCTCATTATCGTCAAGAGTCCATTATAATCTATCATCATCACCATTGTCATCATTATCATCATCATCATCATCATCATCATCATCATTCTCTTCATCATCATCATTATTCTCATCATCATCATCATCATCATCATCATTCTCTTCATCATCATCATTCGCTTCATCATCATCATTCGCTTCATCATCATCATCATCATCATCATCATCATCATCATCATCAACATTCTCATCATCATTATTCTCATTATAATCAACATCATCATTATTATTAATATCAACATCAACATCATCATCATAACCAACCTCATCATTATCATTATTATATTATCACCATCAACACCATCTTTATCATCAACAACAACAGGAATAATAGTTAATAGCTATTTATTTTTATATAAGGCCATATTTAACTGCTCATCCAATTTGACCACTTCTAATTTTATAGTTCTGGAGGGAGCACTGGAACAGCAGCAGCCTGGAAGATGTTGTGCTTGTGTCTGTTGGAGGTGGTTTCCGTGACAACTTAGTCCGATCTGGTCTAACAACATTGGCCGATGTCTTCCATTCAAGTCGTAGTCTGTCGGTAGTCACAAGTGCGATTCCAAATGTTTGGCTGTCTACTGACCACCTCTGTGTTGTATGGTACTTACCAATATTATTTTAAATCTGGCATTGGCACCTAGTCACTAGTTATTAGCAAAGAGTATAAATAGAACGAGAGAGCGTACTCCCATTTGTAAATGCATCACCCCCCTAGTTACGATGGAAGTCGTCATCGTCCTTATGGAGTGTGCCCACTATGTACGAGTTCACATGAAGTGCGCCTGCTTCGATGGTGTGATGATAAAGAAAAAAAAAGGAAATCTACTGCCCTCTACAAATGTATTGTATCATGTGGAAAAGAAAAGTACAAATGAACAAACAACGCGCGGTACATTTCTGGGTAATCCATTTGCAGGGGGCATCCTACACTGGCTGCATATGGCATATCGTTTGTTTACGCTCTCAATGAGTGTAGTCGGCTCTCTTATTCTATTATACTCTTTGTTATTAGTATCTACTGCAAATAAAGTTTGCAATGCTCTTTGAACACTATCAAATTTTATGAGACAAATAACTGTGATATGCCCATATTTGGGGGTAATATGCCCATATTTGGGGGTAATATGATGTCATTATGCCCATAATATGGGCACATCACACAGATTTGTCACATATAATTTGATAGTGTGGCCTGAGTTTAATACTCTATAAATATTTTATTTTATGTGAGAATGGAGCCTCTTGATTTCATTAGTGATGAAAACAAAAATCTATTGTCGGATTTTCAATATAGATTTCATGTTTGTTTTTGTGCAAACCAAATGGCATATTAAATTTTATATACCACATATTCTTGATGTCTAATTAATTAAAATGGTGAGTATATTTGACTTTTTTTACAAATTTTGTCACAAAGAATTATGCCCCGGGGTTATTAGTCTTTTCATCTTGGAGATTTGTTTTTGTAATTATTACGGTTGATGCTAGATCAAAACGTAGGCCTAAAGCCGCCAATAAATTTATTTGAGTGGCTTTTGCATTTTTTCCTCTTTTACACTACAAATTTATAAACAACAGCAGCTTTTTCTGAATTTTTCGAAGTTAACTTAAACAATATAAATTGTTAGAAATCATAAATTATTTCACCTTACAACGATGTCAAACTCCATTAAATATTACTGCAATTTAAATTGAATTAACTTTTGGGAAGAGGACAAGAATGTGATTAATGAACTTTATTTGGTTAAGTTGTGATTAAAATAGCATTGTATGTTGGATTTACAATCATTCTTCATGCATTTTCTATCTTTTTATTGCCAACAGGTGTAAGGAATTAGTTCTGGCAACCAAAAGAGCTATGTTTGATATGGTTGACAAGAAGACAAAACAGGTACAGTCTACAGTTATTATTTATTTATTGAATTACATTTCATTAACATGATCAAGTATGTAACTACATGTATATGTTACTAGTATGCCTATGTTTTTACTCTTAATTAAGTTTTAATGTGTATTTTTGATAGATTTAAGTCCTAAATTAGTTTAAGGACATGATTGTACTGAAAAACAACTTTTTACTTTCTATTTAGTTAAGTTTAAACATGAATAAAGAATAAAGATATTTTTAGTATTATTACTTTGAATTCTGAAGATAAACATAATTATCATTGTTTTCCACCCATAACAGAAACATGATTCATGAAGCAAAGGGTAGAACAAGGGCTATGAGCCGCCCAACTTTGCACGGAATGATGTACTGTATGTTCATTACTAAGCATCACAGGAAGACAATTTTTTGGCCCGAGCCCTTGCCCCAACTGTAGCCCTCTCGATGTTACTGGTACTAATTTTGGTTAATTTTTTCCGGTAGATATCATCTGAACCTGCTCAACGAATGAAGATGCTCAAGAAGCATTTGTCAAGCAATAACAATTATCAAGGCACAGACAAGAATATTCAATTTAAAGGTGCAGTAAAAAATATATATGCATAGAATCCACTTGGGACTTATGCCATTGCTTGTGGCCTTCTCATTGTGTCCCCCTACCCCTGTGTTTTTCATGTTCATGTCATGGAGCAAAGTCTTTAGAATATATTATTACAAAACAATATACTGTATGTACGTACAATTCGAGTACTTAAATTTGGAGCAGACGATGCTGAAGAATCTCCCTCTTGAAGCCCCCACTATGTCATCTGCAGAGGGGGAATAGTAAATCCCGTCCAAGCTACGGCGCTCATGCGGGCTGGAGTTTATGCCCAGTTTCAAGTAGAGTGAAGCGGATGAGATCTTGATGCTCCCTCTGGATGGGGCACTGATCAACCGTAGGTTACGCCAAGCGTACTTGCCAGTACCCATTGATACAGCTGGGTAGACTGAAGCAATGTAGATAAAGTGACTTGCTCAAGGACACAAGCAAAATGCACAGTGAAGGATTGAAACCCTACAACCCTGACCTCGAGGTTTGGGAAACCAAACCATTTCGATTGTGTCAAACCACCTCCACCACAGAGGAAGAATATGTACAGTAAATGGATCTTTGTATAAGAGGAATATACATGGGCTTCAAAGTGCAGAAAGCCAACTTTTTTCAATTTAATTTTTCATCTTAAAGTTATAATTGGTAATATCAATATCGTTTTTTGTTTTTCGGTAGCAAGCGATAAGTTCAAAGTTGTCGATGATGGTGTTTTACAACTTGATGGCCCTGTTGCCAAGGAAACAATTCACTACCTCTTTCCGCTAAAAGATACCATAGAGGAAGCGGACCATTTCATTGCGGTTGGGAACATACAAAGCTTGGATTGGGTGTCTGTCTGCGTGAAGGTTGATAAGGATCGATGCACCGAAGCAATCAGCCTGAAATCATATAACCAAATGCTGCCACCTAGGAACATGGGTATGAAGAAGATACTGTTGGCTACCATCGGCTTAAAAGATGCTATGTACCTTGTTCTTCAAGTACCAAAGGGTAAAAAGGTAAAGGTAATTCATTTTTACTGTACTATAATAGAGTAGGGATCAATAGTGTTGTAATGTTGTAACACCATTGTTGGAAAGGTAAAGCTTTATTACGCTTATGAATGCTTGGATAAGTAGGTACAAACAGGCTACCTGCCATTGGCTTAGAAAAATTGAAAACATTAAAAGTAAATAATAAATGTAAATCTTTATCTAGATTGGCTTCAATTATTATTAATTTATTATTATAGGACTCTTGTATGGAATTATTATTATTATAATTATTATATTAAAAATAATCTACATTTTTTTTTTGCTCTAGGCCTTTGTATCCGCTGAGCTTTATAATAGTGAAACGTATGCTGTTCAGTGCCTCTTGCCTGGTTTCTTTTCATTAGGTGAGAACTATTGTACTTTATTTGGATGGTAGTATATTTTAATATTGTTTCCATTTTGTGAAACAGGTGTCCTTCCAATAAAGACTACTTTTGGGACCTTAGCAGCTTTGGTTTCTAATTAGAATAATAAAGATAAAAGATTTGTTGATTTGGGACCACAGAAAAGTGGTCTTTTAATTGGAGGGGTCATTCATTAGAGGGAGACCTGTAATTACCTAATAAACTGATCTGAATTCTATAACATTTTACTGAATTCAATTCCAAAATATGTGGCTCAATGGCTTCCTCGTGTGACTGATGGGCATGAAATCACAGTACCTTCTGCAACCCTCTCCAGCTAGACTATCTAATTTACTTTGACAAAAATATCTTGTATGCCCATATATAGTCATGATGCACCTATATATGGTCATAATGTCCATATTTAGGCATAGTGTGAAAAGGGCTTAAGAGGCGATTTGTAGGCAATATATTTTCTCATATGCAGCTGCACTCTTGGTGAATTCTCTTCACATTATTTTAAACAGTCGCCTACAACAATATAATTAAAAAATATATTATTGATTTCATCATTGAATATGGTGTATAAATATATTTTGATTTATTATAACTATTAATAAAAATATGTTGGATTTGATAATAAATAGATATACAATTTCTGTTTCTATTATATTAAACAGCTGCCTACAACAATATAATTTAAATATCCAAAAGCATGATTGATTTTGTCTTTTAATATGGTGTATAAATATATTTTGATTTATTATAAAATATATTGGTTTTGATTTATTATAAAAGTTTATTGGATTTGATAATAAATAGATATACAATTTCTGTTTCTATAATTCAGACGGTCACCTAAAACAGTATAATTTAAATATATATTCAAAAGCATGATTGATTTCACTTTTAATATGGTGTTATATATTTTGAGTTATTTTTACTATTAATAAAAATATATTCAATTTGATAACAAATAGGTATATAATTTCTGTTTCTATCATTCAGGCAGTCACCTACAACGATATAATTTAAAACAGTATACAGTAATTTAAATATAACTAGCTGTCTCAATGAAAATGCATAAGGATTTTCGATCACATAATTATCAATGAAAATGGTGATAAGTTTTTTCCTATATTATTACTATGATAAAAATATATTTATTGTATGTGATAATAAATAGGTCTGAAATATCTTTTTCTATGATCGAAAGGTAATCAAGTATCTGTTTTTTTTCTAATTGTTGAGACTTCAAGAGCTGGAAACTTTGTTACTTCATAGCTAATAGAAAATTTATTAAAGTGCCAAGGGTGTCATGTGTAGTGGTTGGCACTAAATAGACATATAATTCATAATTGTTTAACATGCGTATATTGTTCAATAACAAAATGTGGCCAAATCACAGAAAGATTATTAAATTTAATAACTAATAACATTTTTTAATTTGTTTTTTTGTAAACATAAATATCATTAAAAGACAAGTAATTGAAATTTTAATAAACAAATGTTTGTAGTATATTAATAATGTGAAATTCCAGCAAATGCAATATTGTTGCATTTACAATTTGCTTAAAATTTGAAATTTATTTGGAAATACAACTATCTACAGTATGCCTCCACATTGATGCTCCATGCAGAAACTTGTTGCTTATATTGTATGATCTTTCTCAGCTCCACAGATTTGCCTGAATGAAACTGTAGAGGGCAGCAGCTTCCACCGAGTTTACTTGGATGAGATCTACACACCAGGAGTTGCCTACAAGGCCAACTTAGAAGTCCTCTCATGTGATAGTGCAATAGATAATAGTGAGTTTAATATAAGTTTCCAACTGTTATATATATATTTATTTCATAGGCTTTATATAGCGCCAGTGATGGATCTAGAAATTTGGCGACAGGCAGGTCCAACAGGCAGGTCTGAACAAAGGCACCGACTCCGACCCCTAGGTGGCCCAAAGTACTTTTTTTCCCTGGTCATATAGAATACAGAATATATCATGCAAAGCTTGCAACCTTTGCTACATTTATATTGATTGGTGAAATGTTTACGAAAACTGTACTGTTTCGATCTGTGCTAGTTAGATGTGAATATCATATCTTTTTTTTTAAATAAGCAATAAATTGTTTGATTAAATTTATAAAAGTTTTTTTCTAAAATAAATTAATTATTTAAATCAATTAAATAAAATAATTATCAATTTCTCCTAGATCTAAACAGTACACTGCATTTTCACGTTCCTTGGAGTTCGGAAGATTCATATTCAGTTCAACCAGCTGAAGAAAACAATGAAATATCGCTGAAACTAATAAATGGTCGACCAGCAGATGATGAGCGAAAGTCGGAGTTGTTTGTGCACATAAATCCAAAATGCCAGTATCGACTTAGTGTCCAATATTCTCATCAAGAAGGATTTGGCCAGGTAAGGTGTTATGATTTCTAGGTACAGTATTTCCAACGCCATGTGAAATGTGAACTGCATTTTGTTTGTCAGCCGTAAGATGACAATGATTATGGTATTGATTTGAGTAATTATATTATTCATATTCAAAATGTTAAAAAGGGCTACAAAGACTGACCTTTTGGACTTTATGTAGTCTCTTGGCCATCTTCCTGTCTCTTGTGTGATTTCTGTTTTTTTATGAGTTATTGTTAATGTTTTATAAATGTGACTTGACTTAATGACTAACGAAGCTTAAGTTATTGAGTCTGCAAGGTGACTTTTTTCAAACTTTGATTATTACATAAATCATGTAGTTCTGTAACTATCAATATCAATTGTTTTGTTAATGATAATATCATGTTCTTATATCTTGGTATCTTTATTATATAAAAAAACACTTTGTACATAAAACAGTTTATTGCAGAGATAAATCTCTGAATAAATTTAAAAAAACTTAATTGTTAATAAAATTACTTAGCACAAGCCAACAGAGACAAATCAAGCGAAAATGAAAGTTATATTACATTTATAAAAACAAGTGGAAAGATTCTATATTATAATTATCATTTCTAAATGTCTTTATTTGAATGTTAAGTATTTAAAGAACGGTTGCTTTTTTTTCAATACTCTTGCAAGTCGTCTCGATCGTATCCAAACAGTTGAAAGTCATTCTCATAAACCTTGTAAAGTTTTTCGCGCTCGATTTCTGATATGTTCTGATAATATTGTTTGAACACAGAACTTTCGTGGCTCTTTAAAGAATCAACTGATGTAGTTTTAAAGTGGATTAAATGATCAACTTTAGCTTTCTTCAATATGTATTCCGAATCATCGTGAGAACTTTCTAGCTTTCCTATGTAGTCGTATTGTATATCACATGGGAACACGATATTACTGATAACCTGCCAGTGACCGTCAAACCTTTTAGTCCGTCGGTCAGAAAGATATTTTACAAAATCGTTAAAAGATACATTAGAACCTGATTTAATTTGTTTTGGCATTGCTTCTGGATGGAATCGCTCCATGATCACTTTGCCATACGATTTTCTAAAAGAACCGGTCTTTCGCTCTAGTTTGCTGCGGTACGCGGACAACACTCTGGCAAAAGGATGGCGAACAAAAAGAAATTTTGTATAATTTCGCAAGCGAAACTCAATTTCTAAAGGTGAGTACTGACTAAGTTTCCTCAAAGATGGATCGTGAGCTTTTTTCCCCGGAACATCTTCTACTTTAGCATATTTTCCTTTCAGTACAAGAAACGCACTTTTCCAGTTAGTTGAGCCGACTTTAGAAACGTATGCATACATTAGTCGATAAGTGTCACTAACTATCATGAACCAGAGTCTCTTCTTTTTATGCCAGATTATTTCTTTCAGTCCTTGACTTAAGTCCTTTGACGCACAGACTCCTGCTATGGTATTCCTCCTTTGTTCCATCCTCTCCTCCATTTTAGTCAGCCATTTCACAGATATCACATCTGTTTTCTGTGAAGGTTTAAAAAACAGTATAGTTAAAAAAAGTAAAAAGTAAAAAAGAAATCAATAGTAAGTATAATTCACAAAACCTCCTCTAGGCTAGGTCTATGTTATAGTTCAAGGACAATAACATCAACAGATTTAAAATCGTACGATGGCCAGATGTTCTCCGGAGGAGTGTAACGAAAATTATTATTATCATCATCATCATCATCATCGTCATCATCACCATCATTATCATCTTCATCATTATTATTCTTATAAAATAAAATGTATGTGCGAGCTTCTGTGTTTAAGTGTTAAAATGCAATAGTAATATATAATTGAAATGCCACAGAAGAGAAATCTGACAGAAAGGGGGGTGAATACATATTATAAAAAATGAAGCACAGATATGCGTTAAAAATTTGCTGGATATTTTACGTATAACCACACTGAATTTTATTACTGATGGGAAACAAATTGAACAGGTGAAGAGGATTTATTTAGGATATTCAATCATGGAAGATGGAAGAAATGAAGAGGAAATTAAAAAGAAGGTTGATGTTTGGTGGATTATGAGAAGATGGCTGCAACTCTTGAATTAAGGAATATTATGCACACAAGGCAAATAATTTCAAGATGCTATATTTGGTCTGCCTTGCTATATGTATCTGTAACCTGGACTAACACCGCTGCAATGGCAAAATATCATGAAAAGAAAAGAAATGAAACAAAAAGGTTCAAAGATTAGCACAGACAACTTGACAAATTTTACTGGCAATAAGGAAAGAAAAATAAAGTACTTTGGTCACATCATAAGAAAAAAATGTATTTCAGAAAAATCTTTTGGAAGGAGAATTAGAAAGTAAAATAGGGAGAAGAATGTCATGAACAAGCCGGATGAGCAACATCAAGGAGTAGACAAGGATGAAGTATGGAGAATGTGTAAAAAGGGCTGCGAAGATAGAGAGGGATGTACATCCATGGTCGTCGAACTGCTGAAAGCAGATGGCCCGACAGGTAACAGGTAACCACACTCAATAATAGTATAATTAATGCAGATCCAGATATAAATATAGCAAACAAAGGCTTTCAGTTGCCTTTCCCATAGACAGTTAAATTTTATTAAATCTATTTCATTTGTTCTAGGCACTCAATAAAATTAATTACATGATTCATTATAACCATAGGCTTATTGTTAGTAATTAGTAAGACAGTAATAATTTACCTGATTCTCTTTAGAATTAGAAGACTTTTTTGCTGCCGTTTCTTCTAAATCTGGCATTAATGGATTCATCTGGGGAATAACTTTTAATTGCTTCTGTTTGTAGACTTTTTCAGAAAGTTTCTGAACAGCTGTCTCATCATTATTCTGTTTCCCTAAAATAATTAAAAGTATCAGAAATGGTAATCTTGGAGCATAAATATTATATTTTCATATGTAAATTTTATATTTAACTTATTCATAAATCTTGGTATCTAAAAGTTACACCTCCATCTGTGATAATATAATATTATAATTTGCGTACAGTTCATCTTCCATTCCTGATGATGACATAATTAATGTTGAAATATTGAATCCCAACATGATGGCGTTTATTTCAATATTTGGAGTATGTATTATACTTTCTTATCTGAGATTAATCAGTGGACCTTTCGGTTTCTTCTTCCAATTCGTAGCATGTCCGTAACAAGGTCAGTCGACAAAATCGATGTTGTGTGTATGTTTGTTTATGTTAAACAATTAATTATTGTCAGTTTTTACGTCGAAAATTAGCTCTCAAATTGGAGAGCGAACAAAAGACAAAAGAAGTATATCAACTTGTATCATATCTCATTTAAGGTAGTGCAACCTAATTGCTATTGGAAAATTTTGGATTTGAGACCTGGTGGGGTCAATACGTTTCTCACTGATTGATGTTTTTCCCAGATTCAATTTTATATCACGTGGTACAAAGGGTATAATAGTTAGTGTTTAATAAATATATCCATTTAGTTAGACATAATGTTAAAGTAAACCTATTCTATAAGTTACTGTATATGTATGTATATTATGAATTATATTATTATGCTACGAATTATATTATTATGCTACTGCATTATAATAGAATAATAATGAAATAAATCATAAGTAAAACATAATAACAGCTATTAGCATATTATATGACATTTAATAGACAAATAATATATGAACGTTGCATTTTAAGGTAATTTTGTGTTAAATAAATCTTCACGAAGTTTCAGCCTATCACAGAACAATATAAATGAATGTACGTAAAATGCTGTAATAGATATTCTGTATGTGAATGTGAGTAATGTAAGCCACTTTGTAGTTAGAACCGTGCATGCCCGTATCAAGGTCAGTTGATACGAGCATGCGTATCAATTGACCTTACACACAGCACCGTACACACATCATACGTCTATATCGATTGACCTTGGATACGTTCTAACTACGATTTGGCTTATTGGGTTAGATTGACCTTCGATATACACATGCGCTAATAAAACTAAGAGATGGCTTTCTCCTCAGACGTACCTCTTAATCCAATCCAAGATCCAAGTAACATCCATATTATTAAGTTTATTATCAGTAACAAGATTAATTTTTTCAGCTTCCTCTTGGTGACCATTATTTCCAATCGATGATATGTAATGAACTGTTGATCAAATACTGTAATTCGTTTTGAGGACGTTCATTATTACGATTCCAATACAATGTAGACAATTCGCCATGTGTTATTGGAGCATAATTTTATGTTTATATTATATTCAGTCAGTTAATACATAGATATACAATTACAATGAGGACATGAACACTTTTCAGGATTCTGCAATTATTTGTGTGCCTTAGGTATATCTGTTGTATTATAGTATTTTTACACACAAAATTGTTGCTATTCTACCATATCGCTTGAATAAAACGCTTCAACAAGAACATACTTATTATGTAGATCCAGAAATTAGTTTTGTTTGATTGTGAGCATGAATTATTATTACTTTTAATGTTATTGTTATTGGTATTATTAATATTACGAGCTTCTAGGGCCACCAAAAGTGGCCGTGGGGCAGGGAGGCTACCTGCCTGATCCACAATGACAGGGATCGGAAAGCCAGCAAACACCCAGCGGGGTCCAAACACTAACAGATTCCCGTTCCCTTTTACTCTATTCTGAAGCTTAATTTAAACAATTTCTATAGAAATTATGTTTAAAAAAATGCACTTTTTGACTTTAGTCCCCGTTGCACTTTCCTGCAAGACCCATTCTATCCTCGTTAATGCGAAGCTCCCAGCGATGATGTCAATTTTAGAAATACTGTATACGTCACTCTGTACTCAAATACAATTCCAACTACGTGTAATTTTGTAATGGTTCAACTCACCAATGCAATGACATAGTATTATTAAAATACTGCCATAATCCTCGTCACTGAAACATTCGCGAGTCCTTGTTAAAAGTCCCCAAAACAGTGTAGTTTCAATTTTTAAATGAATCGTACGAGGGGGTACGAGTATAACCTCTGATTAAATCGTGAAAATCTCGGCATAACTAAATTAGCTGCCGTGATTATTATTAGTACTTTCAATCTTACTTGGTTCCCTATACTTTCTAACTTGTGGTTATGCCGATTGTGTAAGGATATTCCTCGGACAATTAAACCTCGATTCGGATCACTGGATTTAGATAATGAGCTTTCTTCACTGTCCCGTATTATCAGGCTTCATAGAAAATCAGACAAAAATCACCCAGTACCACCCAAATTGGACTATATCATTGTTAAAGTGGGATGAGCTGTGGGGTGGACAATGTTGGGTGGGCTTGTTTTTATCTAGGTTTACAATATTATAGTTACATTGTGACATACACGCCTTTAATTCATTTAATTCTGTTGACAACATGCATGTAGGTTAATAAGCATTGTAGATTTTAGCAATCACTGTGCTTAAAGTTTGCCATTTGTTTAATGATTTTAACACAACATTTAACTTCCAAACTTTATGAAAATTCAAATGTAAAATTTGTAGTAAATTTCTAATACATTAATAACATTTTTTACCTTTAGGGTTTTTGTCAAATATTTTAGTATTTAATATTTTATCTTGAATTGTCACTACGATTAGTATTTCTTCTTGTATTAATAACTAGCTATTTATCTATTCAATTGCATTGTCTAGTTAATTTGGATTTTTTGTTGTTTCTTTTGAACGCACCGTCACTCGACGTGTGCCACTGTTATAAAAGTACATGTTCAAATAAATGATTATTCATTGAAGCATAGTGCTTCTCAAATTAAGCTTCAGACATTATTGACATTTGGGCAGTGCATGGGTGTGATTGTATATACCCATTCAAGCAAAGGTAAATGAATGGTTAAATGACTCGACATTTTTGAACAACAGGTAGTTCTACAGTATTATGAAGTACATACTGTACCACTAAACATCAAATTTTGCCGATTACCCTATTCGTATGACTGTGAAAGCGATCCGATTTTAGTTATGAAATTTACTTGTTTAAGTATTACCGTATGTGGTGACCAAACGAGAAACTTTAAAAAATAGTATTTGATTGCTTATTCTGTATATGTTAAGTACGTTGATAGCTTTCGAATAACGGGCTCATATTAATCCTACATTGTAATGTATCTTCAAGGTTTTTAAAATTATAATTATTGGCAACCTATTCCATTGTCTTTTTTATCATTGGATAATTATTTTTCTTTTCAATTGGTTTTCTTCTAAAGGTTGTCTCTTTTTAAAAATGTTATTCCTCAAAAGATGCAAGCCTACACATTTTATTAAAAAAAAAAAGTATTTGGATGATTATCTAACAATTGCTGTACGAGCCCTTGCACGCAAGTAAATTTTAATCACTCAGTGTATATAGTTTGTTGTCTGAAATTTTAAGATTTTCAAACTTCCCAAATCAATAATGATGTAACTTTGGGCGGAAATTGTGTTGACAAGATATTGAGTATCTTGTGGTATTATGTAAACTGCTTAAGTATCCAAGGGCACATTAAATATCCAAGGGGATTGCATTTAAAACAATTATAACGCATATCAATCGATTTATTTTTTTTTTCTTTGTTAATAAGTATAGTGTCCTATTTTAATCCTTTTAAAATACATATTGTGTATTATAGGTAACTAAAGTGCGAAAAACATTATTAGACTAAACACTAAGCTATACTTTAAACATACTATATTTTATGGTATGTATTTAAATTAAAAACAAGTCTATGTTTACTTTCAACTATGACATTTTGTATTGTTTATTTTATGCGGCTACCTGATATTAAGTCTACAAGAGTATCTGGCGTTCCAGACGAATCCGATTCCGGTTTCTTAGATACGGTGTCTTCATTATTGATTCACCTCCAGGAGTATGTGTTAAATTTATGTCGCTCAAGGTTTCATTAATACTTAGTTACTTCTTGGTATCTAATATTTCGGCATTTGAGCTGATTTCAGGACATCGATTCATGAGAGCTAATGATATGTTGACAATCTAAAGCGAAAGAAGAGAAAAGAAAACTGTATCTAATGACATTGTGTTTTTGGCAGTGCGAATCTGTCGATGTCTGATATAATTTCTCAGAACTAAAGTGAGATAATTTAGGTGGTTTCTAATCGAAAGAGAGAGAAAAAAAGGGATTTATTTTGGAACCTGAGCACCAACATGTGCGATAGTATTTATCGAAGTGTCCAACAATCGTATTTTGAGCAAAAGTAATTTAAGAGAACATTATCTATGGCATTCTACGTTTTTGTCAATCTTCCTTGACTCGATATTGTTCATCGGCCAATGTGAAATTTCAGACATAGTGAGAGCCTTAAACTTGTATCCACCAATTGTAAAATATGGTTCTATTGTTTACTCAAATTGAATTGATTGTTCCTCGGCAACTTAAGGATATTAGTTAAAAGAATTCTAGCCTAAATTTCTTTTTCAAAGCTAAAAGAAGGAGAGAATGATGCTGTAACATTTATAACCTCTTCACCGTTTGACGAATTGGAAATATAGGAGGAGAATGTATCCTTAATTTGCTACTTACAAAAGATAACAGTGATAGCAGCGTTGTTGGTGAACAGTTATAGTTTTATCTGAATCTGAATCTCGATCTCAAACATTGAGAAATTAGTGATTAAGCAAACATCTACTGTCGTTATTGTGTTCACATTGGACGTTTGTTTTTGTATGAATGACTTTTTCAATTGCTGTTTTATAAAATATATCGCATAGGCCCTATCTAGTGGCATTTATGTAATAACCCACACATTACGGAATTTGTGAACTATGTCAGTAGATGATTTGAGGATGTACTGTGTTATCAACGACATGTGAGCACGAACACTATAACAAATCATCCTGTCTTGAACAAAAAACAAATGAAAGAAATTGTGGAAAGCGTATGTCGCAAGACGGAACAAGTTAACAAGAAGTATTAGATGGGCGAATATTGGCAGTTTTAGTTATGTTAAACATCACCAATTCAGCGAAATGCTGTTAATAAAATAGTAATATTAAACTTTCTTGCTACAAGTAATTATCTTTCTAACCTATCCCAAGAGTATCCTTTCCTGAGTTTATTCTTATTTCGAAATGCGTGAGTAGAACGATGTTTAAAGAGTATTCTGACGTTTCTGGAATGGCCAAATCATATCGCTTTGATAACTCTTTACTCCTGAGGCGGCAGGATTCTAGTATCATCTCTAAAGCATATTCGACTTTGAAATCGCACAAAAAACCCTTGGCATTGCCAGGAATACCACGATCTTCTCGTCATATAAGCTACTATGATTATCTGCCTCATCGGAAAGTTTGGTCTGAGAAAGATCAACGAGAGAAAGACCGTTCTAGACGAATGTTTAGGAAAGAAGTTCAGAAGGAGTTGGAGCGCCAACTAGCAAATGAAGAGGCGAGAGACAGAGATATGTTTCCTAAAGAAGACGAGGTAGATACAGCTACTGACGATGGTGAATCTTACTTGGAACAATACTTTCCAAGTATTCGAAACACGAGAAGAACAAGTGCGCAAAGTAGTGCTAGCACTGGAAATGGCCGCCGTTTAAGTATCCAGAGCTTACATGCATTCTTTCCGGAGATTGACAATTATGATTTTGCGCCACTTGCAAATCGACCAAGTGTTGAAAAAGATTTGAATACAGCTGTAAATTTTGTCAATTCTGAAGACCCGCAAGGTGATGACGGTTTACTCAGTGACAATTCGAAGATCGGAACAAAACCAGGCGATAGTGCAGGCCTACATTTACCGAGGAATGAAAAACGGGTCTCGTTTGCCTTGACAGATAAAACAATGAAGTTATCCACCACACAACGGAGAGACTCTGAAAACCCACATGAAGAAGAGTTGACAGAGATGCATAGAATTAAAAAACCCAATAATACTTCTAACAGTAGTAAACATGACTCAAGATTAAATTTGTTACATGGTTCTATTGAAGAGACCATGGAAGCTAGTCGTCAGTTAAACGAATCTAGAATTCGTCAACGAAGAAATAAGTCAAAATCTGCTGTAACTCTTAAACGGGAAATAAATTATTTTCCAAAAAGGGCTAACTCTGCATATGTACAAGGGATAAATCCTGTGTATACATCATCGGCAAATGAGTTTGCACAATCAATTAGCTACGCATCATCCCAAGCACACAATGTTGTGATTACAGCACCTCATATTAATACAATGGGCGTTAAAAGACGTTGATGGATTTTAGAAAATGTATATTATGTATGCTTAACCATTTTATTTAACAAGTGTAGAACCATTTAATACTGAATGTTTTACTAGGGTAGAACGTTGATGACAGGGAAGTTCTGTTGCTATAAATCCACGGAAGTTTCTTTCTTCAGCTTGAGAAATGTGATGGTGTAGAACTGTAATTTGTTGCTACTCACGAATAATAATTAAAAAGGAACGACAAATCTTACCATAATTAGCGTTTCAATTTTGATTAAATGAAGACAGTGCAAGTATTTTAGTTTTTGTAGTTTATATGTACAATTCAATCTCTGTTTACTTAGATTGCGTCTACGAAATATCAGTACCGGTGTTTTAATTCGTTTGTTTAATTAATGATTACATTTTTATTGCTTTTTGATTAAATATATTTTGGATGGACCGTTTGGTATTGTCTAACGTGTGCCGCTGTTACAATAGTGTTATCCATTAAATATGTTATTGTATTGACTCGCTGATTCTTCGGATGACGTCAACGAATCATTAGCTTCTCAAAAAACTAGGGACGTCATAAATCATGATTCGCTGCTCCATCGACGCCCAGTGCGCCCAATATAAACTTTTTAGAAGACTGAATAAAAAGTGAATTATTTTGATACATTATCTAATATGGATGTGTAGACTAAAATTTTCAATAGGCTTACAGTACTTAGTCAAGGGTGTTGAATTTCGCAAATTGTAATATTAATAGAATAACATAATCTTGCCAAACTACGCCCTCTATACTCCAAAATAAGGAATCGTGCACTAATCGTTGAAAAAATCTACATCTGACTCGTTCTGGCCAAACAACCCCCCACCCCTCCCATAGCCACCTATTATAAGAAAGAAAACGTCATATTTTTGGCAGCACTCACCAACCATTCAGCATAACAACTAACAAATAAAATATAAATCATAAACAATGTCAAAAAAGAAATAATAATATACAGCTGAATTCCATATGGTAAAAATCCGTATATATCCAGAATGCAATGGTGGCTATATTGACCGATTTTTCAGTACTCGACCATACAATTTCATTTATTTTGTTATTAAAATATACATATAATATACAAAGAGAGACACAGAGACAAACGTGAAAATTAATATTAAAACATGACAGTATTGTCACAAAAGTAAAATTGCTGTTGGGTGGTTCTCCAAAAGGTGTATAAAAACCCATCTAATTTGATATTTATTCCATGGAGTAATTTACTACAGATCTCAAATACCAATCACTGGATTGTGTAAATATATCAATATAATTTAAAGAACCTGACATAGATAGATACGATTTGAAAGAGAAAAATGATTAATTTCAACAGTGAACAAATACAATATAGACATAAAATTAACTATCTAAATTAAACAATTTACCGAACGGCATTATTTTTTACAGCTTGTTAGATTTCACTCCACATGTCTCCCCTGCTTCATCACAGTCATAGTTATTCTCGTTCTCTCTTATCAACTCAAACAACTCCGGACAAATGGTAAGTGAACCTTAAAAAAAATTACTAAAGCCTAAGTGGAACCTTATTTTTCCTACTTTTATGGAATTTTGTATTTTTATATACCCCAATTTGCCGATGTCGTTATAAACGAATATCCATTAATGTTATTGTCAACACATTTACCAATGTTTTATTATTGTTTGCTATATACAATAGTTACGGTATCTATTTAGTAATGTCTGGAATATTTGCATTTCAACCTAAATTTTGCGATTCCTGTTACAGTATTTTCATGAAACTAAACTTATTGGTCCGTGCTGGTCCTACATAAAAGTTAGGCTCCACATAACTGGTAAATAATTTAACTTACAGACAATAACAATTTGGCAACATAGGGCCAGATTGACGAGGAGATACGTGTAGTATGTGTTAGGCTTATAATGCTCACTCTCTGATTTACGAATGCTCAAGTGTTTCTACCATAATCAACTCGACTCCCTATTAAACAGTCATGCGTTATTTATGGAGCATCAAGTCTTAACCTTTGATTTTCCAGACTATCAAAAAACTGTTGTATGACTATACTGTATATAATCATGATGTGCCTATATATGGCAATGACATGATGTCATCATGACCATATTTAGGCATGTCACATGTTTTTGTCAAATAAAATTTGATAGTCTTTGATAAGGCGTGTGGGTTGGGTGTGTGTCTGATGTTTGTGTTTCTGAACAAGATTGATACTGGTTCTAAATTTAGTATTCTGTGCAGTAAAATAATTAATTAAAACAAACCTTTCTTTGAAATTTAATTGGCTTGGATAATTACCCGTATGTTACTATGTTTCCGAACAATTTGAACACATTTTTTCTTTCTCTATATTTTCATAGAACCTCTGCATGATTTTATATGGATTCAGTCTTCGTATTGTAAGCCGTTTGTCGTTGCACCGTTCGTATCAATAATCCGGGCAGCCATTAGGTAAGATAATCAACTGTTTACACAAATCCTAATGATCCTAAGAAGAATTATATTAATTAGTAAACTTGGCTTTGATGGACATAGCAATTGTGTTGATTTAATACACAAACATGTTGGTGGTGGTGTTAAAAAAATAAAGTTTAATCTTCATAATCATCATCGTCTTCATCATCATTATCATCATCATCATCAGCATAATCATCACCATCATCATTATCATAATCCTCATCGTCATAATCATGTTCATAGGCGTCGCATGACCACATTTACCTCATCAAGTGCTCATCTTTTAATGATGTAGTTATGTTTATTTCCAGATGGGAACCACTGACAAGTACATATGATATAACTGAAATGGAGCGAAAAAATATATTTTTTGGAACTTTACCAATTGTTATGTTTTTATTTGCCTACGCAATGGTTTGTTTAGGTGCACAGTTAATGTTGTATAAAACAAAGTGTTTAGGACATTTGTACTTCTTTTTATCAAGGTAAGTTTAACAAAGGTAATTTTTTCTGAATATTGTTTTAATGTAGAAATTTTACTATTCTGCATTTTCAACTGGCGCCAGGGCTGGCGCCAGGATTTGCCCGGCGGAGGGGCCTAGGTCCCCGATGGGGGCCGATGCCCCGACGAGGGGTCAGATTTCCCCGACGAAAGCAAAGTGGGCGTGGTCGAGCTTCAATTACAAGGTCTCGAAAGTGAAATTTTGACAATTTAGGGGTTTCAAAGGCTTACTTAATCGATTTTATAGTCTACTAATAATTATGTAGAAAATTCATATAATTTTTTCTCTTCC